CTAGCGGTTCATGCAATTATACGAGTATTATGCATTGAATTTTATAGCTTATAGCTTTATTAGTCTAGGATACAATAACAACAAAAAGAAGAAAAAACTTACTCACTGTGGTAGAAAATAATTTCATTTGAGAATTAACTTTTGATTTGGGTGCCATTAGAATTCTGAGAAGTTTTCCTTTATCTTGGTCTGTAATAGTTAGCTACTGTGGGCTTAACTCCAAGAAATTTATTTCTCTGCAAGTATCAAAACAGAGGCACATTCAAATGCGGAAGTTACACCAACCCTCATAAAGCAAAAGCTGTAAAACATCGATTTCTCTCTGCAGTAGAAACAGACAGCTGTAAATTTTCAATCATGTCAAAAACATTTTCAAAGTTGACAGCAACCCCATAAGTTACTTTTCCAAAACACAGACATGGGCAAAACATAATATCAAATAGCTGATGAAAAATAGCGTGAAAGATAGAGGAAGGATACATTTGATATATTGATTTGGCTGGGAAAAGGTAAAGTATTTCTTTTGATTGATAAGTGTTAACATAGTTTACAGGGGAAAATATTTTTGATTAAGAAAAGACGTTTTAAAACTTTAACATTGGGAATTTTGAAGTCGTTTCAATGCACTCCTTTTCCTTAAATAAATATTTAAAATTAGAAATACTCTTTACGAATAATAATGATATGTTGTAAAGTCCATTCAGAGGGATGGGTCTAAAGTTGTTGTTTTTCTCCAAGAAAATGCACCTTTCGTGGTTTGATTAAAATTTATAATCTTCCTTTGCTTGGACAAGGAGAAATGCAGGCACATGTTCTAAATGGCCTCGTAAATGTAGAGCTCGCATTTGCTGAAAACCATCGCACTTCACAGTCAGCTTCAGTAATATAAACGAACGAAGGAAAATAGTTTATTGCATTTTATGTTGTTATTTCTGACTGGATTTATTTAATTGAAGACTTTGTGATAATTTCACACCCATGTGCCAATTTTCTCTAAAAGAAATTACTTGTATTGCAGGTTGGATTTGAAATTGTATAAGACATATTCATCGGAAATTAAGGCCAATTTAGTTTTAAAAATTGTATTTGTAAAAGAAAATCCAAATTAAGCAATGGTATACTAGTAATATGTCAAATTTAATTTTTGCAATGATAATGAACCAACAGTACACACTCCGCAAATAACTCTTTTTGATCATTCATGAACAGAACTACATTGTAGAGATTTTTTACAAAACTGACATTATGTTTCAGTACCAAGAAAATGCTATTTTCTTTATAAGTATCCCTGGTATGATTGATAATGTCCATGCTTTTAACAACTTACTCCGATGTTTTCAGTATTTTTACACTTAGGTATGCGACATATCCAATTTGAAATAAATCTGATTTATAAATATAAACTTTGAAATACAGTCAATTTGCATCCAATTTAAAGCAGAGGTTGAACAGTGTTCCTTTAAGGTAGTACAAAACACCCATGGAATCTATTTTAACTCATTTCTTAAAAAGTACTTGAGAAAAAAGAATAATATCGCTATATTGTAAATAATCAATTATTTTTGTTAGGAAATTAATAAGCTGTGACATGTTTTTGCCTTATTTTGTTAAAATAAATTGACACATCCTGTATATTGGTCACTTAAGAGCCTACATTTTAGAATGTGTTTAAGATGTCTAAATGTGATATAACAGTGAAATGTTTGGAGATAATGAACGGTATTCAAGTATTCATTAAACAATACAAATTTTGGAGCAGAGCAAACAAGGAGCTCTAAAACATCAGAGGTGGGATCAGGTGCCATGGAGGAGTGAGCATCCCCTGCTGAGCGGTCACACCCGCCGTGTGTTCCTTGTCATGATCGGGGGGAAAAAAAAAGAAAAAAACGTCGACAATTCAGTGTGTAAATAATGACCAAAAAATAAGTATTAAAAAAGTCAGTCAGCATTTGACTAAATGATAAATTGTATTTACTGACAAGGTCATTGTGTCGACCATAGAACTTACGAAATGACGACTTTAAACGAGACTGCTGATATTCTTGTTTCATCAACTTGTTTGTCAATAACTTAACTCGTTTTAAAAATTGTTCATACGTAGAGCATGCTCTTGCGTATTGAATCAACTGAGAGATATAAATCCCGTATGCAGGTGATGAAGGTATACTGCTGCATAAGTAAGGGTAGTTGATGATTGTAAAGTTAAAGTCATTACGTTTATCATAAAGCTTGGTTGTTAGATTACCATTAAGTCTTTTTCTAGTAAAATATCCAAATATTAAACAGATGTGTCAGACTCTGTGGTATCTTTTATTTCAAGTTCACTGGGATATATCTGATCGACATAAGAATGGAAATAACCATTGTTAATTAACAATTAGTCGTCGATATATCTAAATGTCGAGTTGAAGGCCACAGCAAGTGTTTTCCTCTTTTCACGTATAAGATTTTGAACAAATTCTGCATCATATGAATACAAAAATAGGTCTGTTATTTATTAAATGAAAAGTAACGTTTGATCCATAAATAGTAGAGGGTTGATTCTTTTGGGATCCATTTCAATCATTCTGTTATTATTTTTTTTTTTTTGTAAAATTGAATTATACGTTTTCTCATTAGAGGACTTAAAGTGTAGCATATTTACATGTGAATTTTCAATTCCGGGGTTTTGTATGTTCTATTTATTCATCACATTTTACGCAAATTTACTGGCATCAACATATTTTAATTAATTTTAGTAACAGAAAGGTTGCCTTTATAAAAAAAAAATATCATACAAGTTTCAATAAATCAATTGATACTTTATAAATAAGGCACATTCTCTAGTCGAATGTCCGATTTCACATTCTTCTAACAGGGGTCTGATAGGCCATATTTCAAACTATGTGGGCAAAAAAATGTGCGGCTAAAATTCTTTCATATTACATATAAACAGAGATTTTGTATCTTAGAACAAAATATCAAAGTTTCAAGAAAAATGAATCTGAGGAAAATTTTGTTTATTTTATCTATTGTGTTCTACCTTAAATACTAAATATTTTTGAAAATTTGTGATGAAATATTTTTTGTACGGAATTCGTCTCTTATATGTGTCTGGAGAAACTCTTTAAGAGTAAATTTTTCTATGATGGAACAAGGCAATTTCAACAGTGCATCTAAAGTATGTTTTCATCATTTTATCTACTCATGTCAGTTTTCATTTTCATTCTATGTCATCTGTTAGAAATCATTTCCCTTTCTGTTTAGTTAAAAGGTATGAAAAGCTAAGGATGAATGAAAATGATTCACTTTTCGTGTTAAAAGATCGAGTGATCGCCAGTTTAACGCCTCAATACACGGTGATTTTTGTTGCTTCTTGATCATAGAGATGTAAAATAGTTTTTTCGCTTACACGGGTGAGCATAGGTCATTGGTACTTAAAGATACCGGTGATATCGTGTGCTCTCTTCGATATATCTCTCTATCTCTCTTAAAGAATATTTTATTAGCAGTATGCAAAAGAGATTCAGTGTTAGCGTTAGCGTCTACATTTTCCCATCATAACATGTCGTTGATTATCGAAGGCCATCAGCATGGTAAAGCCCCTCTAATATCATGTATCTACGAGATATTTACACATTTTAATCGATCAAGTAAGACCTCAGAACGATATTGCTATATGATGAAAGCATTACACGAAAATGTATGAACACAATGCTCAGCTGATTTCAAAACATTTTTATCCAATTTGTCATGTTAATTTTACATGCATATCAAATGAAAGCCATTTTGTTTTGTTGGAAAATCTATAATTATGAAAAAGTTTTGGCCTTTTTGAAGATGATCCTCAACAGAGATAATTTTTCAGAGGATTATTTTCCTTGCATTTTTCAGATAAAACTTCTTATCCATATTATGACCATTTCAACAAAAAAGCATCTTATTGAAATTATTAAGGAATTTTAAGTTGAAGGGCCCTGGTTACTTACAATTGCACACATCAACTTAAAATTCAACTTAAAATTCCTTAATTATTTCATAATTATTTTCAAATTATTTGTTATAATTTTCAACTATGAAATAAATTTATATATATATATATATATATATATATATATATATATATATATATATATATATATATATATATATATATATATATATATATATATATATATATATAAAATAACTCAATAGAAATATTTAATGCTGACTTGAGTTTTTGGCTTAGGTTAACCTAAACATAGAAAATTGTCCTTCTGCCTGCCCAATCCTGTTACGGATCGATTCAAAATGTGAAATACTCCATTGAAAGGAGAAATAAATGTTGCCCTAAGGTATTCTTCGACCTAATTTAAGAAAACGGTCGTAATTGGCGCAGCTTTACTCATATCAAATTGATATGTGTTATTGTAAATATATACCACTTTTTTATTCAGTTCTGTTCGTCAAAAATCACTCTGCGGACAAGTAGTAAGTTTCTTTGAAAGGATGTAACATTCTCGTTTTAGAATTATTCTTTTAATTTTAAAGACACATTGTTAATAACTCAAGTATTTCGGAAATAGGAGGTATCAAATGGCTAATGCTGTATGTTTTCCAGCGTTTATATTTACATTATATTTTATTGATTGGGATTTTGTTTATCACCTGTTGGAGGAGCATTGTGTTTTATGGTTTTTAATTCACGTTACCGAGTAATCTGTTTTTATTTGTAGAAGAAGTGATCAAAGCATCAGTTAACACTGGCTTAGTGCAAAAAAGCAGACAATTTTAAAATATTGATCTGCGATGGTGGGAGTGAAAATGGACCGCTGTCGGAAGTGACATTCAAGTCTGCCTCTTTATCATTGAATCACTGTCTTTTGGAATTTTTTCTCAAAAAAAAAAAAAAAATGAAAGTGTATAATCACAATCGAAAAATAAAAGTCATTGTAAAGCATTAAACATGACGGGTTTTAGTGCTTGGATCGATATATATAAACCATATATACCATCTTACGTATACTTTGAAAATTATGCAGATCGGATCAGATTGTGATCTTGATTTGTTTCTTCAATTCTCTTCTACCCGAGAGATCGAAGGATCACTATCTTCACCTAATGACAAATTCGCAGATATTTTTTGAAGAGTTCGAGGAATTTAAGCGAGAGGTGTCGAAGATGACGCTCCCTGTAATGGATGAGTTGGACAGATTTCTGAGTGAAACAGATAACGCAACTTTGATTTTGCTGTTCAATGAATCATCTCGGGGGAATGGACCAGGTCTTTATTCCTACACTGACGGGCATTCCTCACATATTTTCCTATTCATTTCCTTTGGTATTTTAGTCGTTGCGTCTTTCATGTCGAATATCTTTGTATGCTGTGTGATTATTCGAAATAAGAAGATGCACACTGTCACCAACATGTTCATGCTGAATATGGCTGTATCTGATTTGATTTTGGTACTTCTCAACGTACCTCTGAACATTGCCAGACATATCATGGACGAATGGACCTTGGGGAGACCACTGTGTCATTTGCTCAACTACTCCTTAATGGCCTCTGTCTATGTATATTCCTTCACCCTAACAGCCATAGCGTTAGATAGGCATCGTGTTCTTCTGTATCCCCTTCATCCAAGAATTACAAAGAAAGAATGTATGGCTGTTATGTTTTTGATTTGGACAATTTCGTTTTTGCTAGCCATACCTTACGGGATATTTACAGAAGTGGGATACGTTGATATTGTGTTTACTCGAATACAACGCTGTAAAGCCAGTTACCCTAGTCCTAGTGGAACATGGGAGCAATATGTCACGGTATTTACTATCAATTTACAATATATTCTTCCACTGATTATAATTGGTCTGGCGTATTGTCGTGTGGTACATAAACTCTGGATTCGAACCCATCTTGGAGTTGTCACGGAAGTACAGAGAGTCATTCAAATTAATGCAAAGAGACGGAGTATAAAATTGCTTATTGCCGTGGTGGTCGTTTTTGCTATATGCTGGATGCCACTTAATTTATACCACATATTGACTGACTTCCATCCGGACACAACAGTGTTTTATTACAGTAGCACTGTATTCTTTATCTGTCACTGGATAGCTATCAGCAGTACGTGTATCAATTCTGTACTGTATTGTTGGATGAATCCAACATTCCGCTCTCAGCTAAGACCCATATGTTGTGGGGGACCTCCAAGAAACCAATTCGAACAAGATTACTGTGATGTTTACCTACAGAATGTTACATCTCGACAGAATGTTCGATATTGTACTGTGAATTCCACGTCTTCAACTGACGGCCAGCGTGCTGAACGCATGTTGACAAAGAAATTCTCATACAAGATATCATTCAAATCAAAGGTGAAATACAACGAAACTTATCTCTAACATTCTTATTTTGTAGCTACATGTTCTTGTTATTCATGTTGTATACATGTACATGTAATATAAAAGTGTTATAAAAATGTTATCATACATTGCAGATTTTGTTTTATCACATTTTATACATGTATTTCATTTTGCAGACCTGATTTTTTTTTAACAAAGGTTTTCATTAAATCGGTTTTTAAAAGTATTGAATCTTACACTTTGATAATTTTTTATTCAAACATCTGTTTTTAAAATATTGAATCTTGCACTGCGATAAATTTTTACTTAAACAAATCCCAAGATCAAAATACACATAAAAATAATTGATCAGATCTTTTTACAGCCTCCTTTAACCTGAAAATAAAAGCTTGACAATGCTAGAAGTAATCAACTCTGTCAGTACCATATTTTCCTATATCTTGAATGCGAAATTCAATTTATCAATATATCTTAGCGATAACCTTTGTTTTCTCCTTTTTTTCACGATTCAAATACAAAAAAAAAATGCTAGCAACTTAATTGCAATTTTAAGTTTAAACGACAAATAATAACTTCATTTACATGAATTAAACTAATTTCAATTTAAAGTCCTTAAAAACGACTTTAGTCAAAAAATATTATTAGCTTTTTATGGTCATTCTTACCTCACAAGAGCTTTTTGCTCCATAAAGTTTTCTGATTTAACATTGTCAGGCGTCAATTTGTCTGTTCCTATGTTTTTTTTTTCGGATAATTTGTTTCCACAAGCGTGCAAGTTCTAGTAAGCTTTCTCTCGCCTCTCTCCCTCTCTGTTTTCTTTTTTTAATCGAGAATAGATAAAATGTATTTTCCCTAAGATTTACAAGAGTCTGATTTTGGTCAGTTAAAGATCGAAACATAGGAAGAAAATGAAAACAAAATATGCAAAATTTTCATCCTATCACTCTGCACTACTTTCTTTAGTTTTCAAAATGATACTGGGAAACTATATTCCCTAGTGCTATGAAGGAGTTGAAACTAAAGAACAGTTATCAGTTTTATAAATTATATACAGTGTATGCAGATACAAAATGGAAAACGGGGAAAAAGCACGAAGCCTTGGAAACACAAGAGGTAGGATCAAGTGCCTAGCCTTAGCATCCCCCTGTTTATTGGTAAAATCTGCCAGGAACCCTTTATATTGATCAGGTAAATGGAACTAACGAAGTCAAAATTAGTTCAAAATAGTCATAAATAGTCATACCATTGGTATGAAACATGTCAGTCAAAATTAGATTCAACGTTGGATTGTATATGCAAACAAGGTCATAGAATTGACCATAGATTTGGCAAAATGCTGGCTAAATCGATACCCTTGAAGCTCCTGTTAAATCAACTTACTTGTCAGTGTCCATATCGTAAAAAAGATTGATCGTCAAGACTTCAATTACAGTAATTTTATTTTATTTTTGAAATTTGTTACTAAAATTGTTAAATTATTTATATATTTTATTTGCGATACTTCATTAATACTTTCCAAAAATACGTATAGACAACTTGAAAGTAGTATAGTCCTTTAACACAGACATGAAAGTCCAGGTTCAAGTTAAGAAATTTCCTCACAAATTTGTAAAAGAAATATTTGGAAATCCTAAATTATTATTTTAATAAATAATAAAATCCTAAATTATTATTTTTTAAATAATAAAATTTATTTCATTGTTATAACTAACAGCTTTTTCACTTGAATTGCTTTATCTTAAATTTTATTCATTGATGATTATTAAATGTGTAGTTAGTTAATTTTTCATTGCCAAATTCTTATTGTACAAGTTTCTTTTTCTGCATTAACTTTATGATTTTTTTTTTCAAATTCTCTTTGAACATGTAAACTTCTCCCTACACGCTTTGTACATATATTTTAACCTCTCGATTTTGTTTAATGATCATTCAGGAAAACAATACAAGTTTGATATTATGATGGGTTTTACTTCAAGCCACAGTTTTAAAGGATAATTAAAAGATTGTGTTATACTAATTATTTACTCAACATTAAATAATCATATATTTCCGAATCAACAATTAGTAACTGGCAATCATTAATTTGCATCTAACCATCGACAATAAGCAACAGGCAATAAGTAACTAGCAATTGACAGTAAGTCATTGATAATAAACACTGTGCATGCTGGTTCATGATTCTCAAGGAATCAACAGTTATTACAAAGCTGCTGAAGCTCGCGAAAGGATGTGTTTCTCCAATAGATCCATCCATAAATGTCATTTATATAGGCATTAATCGATTTTAACATTTCAACTGTGATAATCAATGGGAGAAGGAAGGTCATTGATATACCTTTAAGTGTTCAGTAACGGAATCTGCTTTCATAACATCATTAAAAACTTTTATGTTACACTGTACCCATTTTCCAAAGCTTAAAATATATGTCTCATATTAATCATGTTTTTTTTCTTCAACAAAAATCTTATCTACTGCATATCACTTAGGAGTTTCATTCCCCCTAATATCTAATAATGTTCTTCCATCCACTCGCTACCTTGAGATGTGAAGATAGATGACTTACATTTTTCTAAAACCTTTTTTTTCATATTCATACTAATGAACAGAGATAAGACCTGTTTAATAAAAAAAATAAGAAAAACAAATCTAAAAATTTGACTGCAGTAAAGCAACTCTAATACATTTGTAGTTCCTAACCAGTAATTGCTTGGTACCGTGCTACTTTATTTCTAGCTCTACTGGTCGGAGACCAGAAGAGCTTATGCGATAGTAAGGTGTCCGTCGTCCGTCCGTCTGTCTGTCTGTTATCAATTTTTCAAAATGCTACTTCTACAGTTTTGGTCTGATTTCAAAATGGTTTGGCACACAAGTAGAATACACTAAGATACATAATTCTGTGTATCAGTTTTCAATTTCGATAAACAGCGTTGCCATGGTTACTAAAAAAGAGATTTCTTTGAAATATTTTCAGAATGCTACTCCTCCTACAGTTTTGGTCCGATTTCAATATTACTTGGCACACAAGTAGAATACACTAAGATACATAATTCTGTATATCGGTTTTCGATTTCGCTGAGTGATGTTGCCATGGTTACTTAAAAAAGAAATTTCTTTGAAATATTTTCAAAATGCTACTCCTCTTCACTTAGATACATTATTCTGTGTATCGGTTTTTGATTTTGATGAACGGTGTTGCCATGGTTACTAAAAATAGAAATTTCTTTGAAATACTTTCAAAATGCTACACCTTTCAGTTTTAGTCTGATTTCAATATTACTTTGTACACAAGTAAACTACACTAAGATACATAATTCTTTGTATCGGTTTTTGATTTTGCTGAACCGTGTTGCCACTCCTCATACAGTTTTAATCTGATTGCAATAAATCTTGCCACAAAAAAGACTAAACCAAGGATCATTTTTAAATTTATTGCTGTTGCAAAGCTTCAAGTTCAAATGCTACTTTTCCCTTCCTTTATTTTAAGTATAAACCAGTAGAGCTACTGTGTCGTCGGAGACTTCTGGTTTAATAAGGTTATAGAAAAATCCTTACTATCATCATTATAATTTTGTTCATATTATACAGCTTTAAAAACTTTTTAACCTAACATGCTTTTGTGAACCATTTGAATGCACATTATGGAAAATACAAATATAGCTACTATACAAGGGCGCAAATATGTAGAATTTTGCACTTTTATTTTAAGCTTTATATTTTAGGAATGACTCTAATTCTTGGCCAAATTATTCGAGTATAACCTGGTTTGGGTCAGTTTACGCTTTATAATCCGCGAAGCGGATTATAAAACAGCGTAAACTGACCCAAACCAGGTTATACTCGAATAATTTGGCCAAGGATTAGAGTCATTCCTTATAATTTAATTTTAAAATCATTAAATAACTATGGGTGTAAAATTTCGTTACTTTTTATTAGTTCAAATTTGCCGCTCAATAATACAACCGTAGTAACGGAAGTAACGGAAGTGATGGGAAGCGAGGGGAGGTAAAAACTGATACATAGGCCTAGCAGCCATGTTGTTTGGTTACATGTGGTAAGATCGAATTATTGTTTGAAATTAAAGGTACATTTATTAAATCTGGAATTTTCCATGAATCCCGAGGACTGGAAATGAGAGGATTGTATGGAAACAGACGATTCAGCTGGTTGTCAAGGGGGTGTGTCCCCGTACCAAACCAGGTTATACAGAAATAATTTGTGTTCCTTTTTGGATATTAACCAATCAGAGGCTAGAATAAAAACAAAATTAAATTATTCATAATTAATAATTTATTTATAGTATTTTCTTCTTCCTTTTTCTGCAGGAATAACAATCTTGATGCAATTTGGCATGTTATAAACTAAGTTTTCATAGCCCCCCCTTTTTTTTGGAAAAGAGCACCATTCTTCCTAAAGTGCTTTCCACATATCTTTTCAATTTATCACTTGTTAGCATATTTTGAGTAAAGTCCGATCTTCTTTATTTGACCTCAAATGTTTTTATTTTTGTTGAATCAGCACTGTTCTAGGACAACAAAATTTGTCTGAGAAACTCTCTTGTGCTGTCTAAGTTATGGCATGTTGCTAATAATACATGTACATGCAAATCATCTTGTGTGGTCACTAAACAAACATGGTACTAACATCTTTCAGCATCTTCTGATGAGCATAAGAAAGTTTTTCAAACGCAATGCATTTTCTACATTAACGCTACCAGAAAACAAATCGATTGAAACTCATTCTAAAGCAATTCAGGAGAATTTTAGGGTGGAATATGAGACAATTGGTAAAACCATGCTAACAGCTAAAAAGACACGTGAAAGATACTTCAGAGGGAATGGCATACTTAATTCAAAAAAAGTTCAGTAAAAACTTCGTTCATATAAGTTCAAAAATGCCTAATTTCATTTAGGCCGTTACTCGTGTAAAAAGGGGGATCCTGTAACAAAGGATTCAGTATTAAATAATAATGCATTACAGCACATGTAAAACATATCAATAGCACTGGTTTTTTTTTCTTGAAAGACAGAAAAAGCGTTCTACTGTAAGTCCAGACTATGAATGAAAACATAATAGAACCATAAACCATAGTACAATGAAAGTAAGATAAAAAAAATCCTTTACCACTTCCTCGTCATACATCTTGTGAGCTTTCTTATACGACTAAGTACTACAAAGTACGCTCTGTATCATCAATTGAAAAACTTTAAATTGCAAAATTCATCGTATCTTTTATTTAAGGTTTTGCTTCGTAGCAATAGATTTGTTTCCAAAATGTGCTGTATAGAAGGTCATATCTCGTTTAAATTTTTACATAAATCGACATTCAGACAACCTAGCATGCTGGTTCCGATTTGTGTAGCGTGACAAAACTTTCTATTCATTATGCAGTATTAGGACTTGTTTATTCTGAGAAAAGATTTATACCATTACTATTGGCTTAGATCCTTATATTTAGAAAACTTTTAGATGTTTACATCATGCACAATATGAATCCTTCTATCCAATCGTCATGTCATTATTCCTTGTTTAATCTTTGCCTTTCATAATAATGTATCATATCACCTCAAACTGGACTCTTCTTTCTCTTTGTTGGTTTAAATTTATGAGATAATGAAAATTAAAATACTTTTGATTCGCAGTTAATAAATGACATGTACAAATAAACCATAGAAACGCCTTAGAATATCAGAGCTTTTAAAAAAAAACTTGCCAAAGTCAGTTTTGATTTATGAATTAACTGGTAGCATAAAATATAAATATGATAAATGCGCAAAAATATTATCGACTAAAAGATATTTTTTGGTTAAGAAATGGACTGTAATTATCAGCATTGAGTAAAAATATACTAAACGATTAAGAGTATGAATAAAGAAATGAAGGTATTTTGCAGGCACGTAGACCTAAACCTCTCGTTCATGAATAGAGGTTCATTCTACAATTCTAGATTTATCTTCAATGTAGTTTATAGCTATAAAATCTAATAGTGCAGTTGAATTAGAATCAATTATGTATTTTTTATTGTTTAATATATTCATATATATTAATGATTATCAGGCATATTTAATGCAGAGACAATGACTCAAAAGTCAATAAAATATCATCAAAAAATCTAGACAAATATTGAAAACACATCAAAATCTGTTAACAAAGGACTTGTGTGTATGCATGCAAAAATATCAGCATATAAACTGTAAGAAATATTTGTGTTGGTCATTTCTTAAGTTTTTACAGAGCTATCTGAACATCTAACAAGTTTGCCCATGCAGGGCTTCATTAAACATCATATTTTGAAACAAGTAAAAAAAAATAAAATTATTGTATTACAAGATAATAGAACTAAAATTTATCATTAATAAAAGTATTTAAAATTACAACGTCTTTCTGGTTTTGGACTTAAAAGAATACTAGTTTTTTAGTATTAAATCAATTTTACTGTTGTTCTTACTTCAAGAGCATCAAGCACTTCCTTTGAAACGAACAAAAAAATCCTTCATGCCAAAGTAATTATTCTTAATCATACCTTACATTTCAGGATATTTTCTATTTTTCATTTATTAAAAGCTAAACCTTTCATGAAAATTAAAAAGAAGTATATAAAATAATAAAACATGCTGATACATACATTTATGCAGAGTTTGGGACAATTCAGAAAATAAAATTGTATTATTTCCAAAGGAAGTAACATAAGATACTGCTCAATCCAGTATAGTCTAGAAAGGGATGTGTGTGCTTTGATCAAGTGTTCATTTATTTATATCAAATCAGACAAAAACTGAAGAAAAAATTAACATTTTAAAATATTTCAGTATTTGATTCTATTTTGAGGTTAAAAAAAGCGACAGAATTGACTGAAACTAAAAATTATGTAACCTAATATAGTCCACTTGGAAATCATTTGGAAAAAATTACGAAGAGTTGCATCATGAAATACAGGAGTTTTACAATAGCATTTTCAGAAGCAGCAGCAACACCCTTAAAACAATGAGAAAAAAAATAACCAGAATTATATATTTTCAAGTAGTTTTTCATTTAGTTCAAATTGAATGAGAGCAAGCAAAACTGCTGGAGGGAAAGCATTTTGAAAAAAAAAATCCATTATTATTTATTATCATTTATCCTGTTACATGCTGAAGGACCCTAAACACCTGCAAACTCTTGAATCACAGATCATCCCTTCAACTCATTTTTTTGTTTATATATTACAAGCACAACAATGATAGCATTAAATGCAACAATTTTACATCCTCATTTTATAGACTTAAAACGTTTTCAGCACTTAAGCATAAAACAAAATACAAACACTCACACTCAATACTTTTTTTTCTACCACTATAGATTAAATCAACATAGACTGCCTTTACATAAATTTTATAACAAAAAATAAGGATATTTTTTACATTATCTGTAAATGAAAGAGTACATCAAGTTTGTTTTCAAACGTTTTCTCACAGAGAACACTTAAAACACTGTGTACAAAATGGAATTGGTCCTTGAAATAATCCAATTTAGTTGGACTATTCCAGAATAAATTAAGACATATCTAAATTGAACAATGCATCACAGTCTTAGTTTTCTCTCTCACACTTATCCTCACACATGTTTACGTTGATGCCTAATGTATACAATTTTGTTCAAGACAAGTTTGAAAACAAAATATTTGCCTGTGAACATGTATGCTGATTAAAGGTAAATAAATATATCAAGTACTCTGGCATAAAATTTTCTAAATTCTTGGGCAGCTATGCTTAAGTCTTGTTTGGCCAGATCCACCAGCAGCCAAAATTAATGTGTGTTTTCTGAAAAAGTCCACCAAATCCAACACTGTTTTGAATGTCTGAAAAATATATGTAAAAATAAATCAACATTTCTGTGGATAATTAACAAATTCATTTTAAGCCAGTGCTTCATATGTAATCTGATTTAGGTGAAGCATGTTATTTTTTCTACAGTGAACTAGAAAAGCGTACGTATTTGACAATGTTTTAATCTAATCTATTATAAAATCAGCTTTGTTGAAAATCTCAAGCTCTTTTGTTTTAACCTAACATTAAAATTTGTAAACTTCTTGCATGTACTGTGACTACGAAAATTCCACTTTTATATTGTTTTGAACAAAGATTTACCATTTATATAAGCTTTGCGTTAAAAAGGTGTCTCTCAACTTTTGCAATTGCATTAAATCTTCAGTCCTATTGAATTCATACTTCATTTCTTTAATTTTTTTAAAGGAAGTAATAACATGCATATAACTTTTGCAATATGAAAACCTGTACATGTATATATAGTACACAAACAAACATTTAGAATTTATTTACCTCTTCTGCTCTCTTTTCTCTCCCCAAAGCAAAGGTTGAATCTGACCTTTGACGTATTGGAAGGTTATACACCTTACCGTCATTGTAGATTTGTAATGTGTATGGCTGTCCCGCTTTTGTACTGGGTCTTATTAAAAATGTTCCATTCTAGAAAAAAACAATCAATATGAATAATCACGTTTATCAAATGACTTTGAACATTTTTTTAAATGAGGTTCTTTCTCCTAAAGGATTTATTTGCTTTTATTTTACCTCTTTCACAACTAAGAGTATACCGTTCTCACATCTGCCTTTTAAATTTACATTAAGACATTAAGATTTAACAGAAGTGGAACATCATTAGACATAATCACCTTTCCAAAATTCTTCAGTACTTCATCTGCCTCTGCTCTATTTACATTTTGGTACCAATCCTGCTGAGAAATGTCATCCTGAAAGTAAAAATCAAATCATTACTTCCAATGAACTATAAAACATGTATTCCGAGTCAAGAAAGATAACTCAACTTGAGAAGAAAAAAAAATCTTACCTCCTCACCAGGAATTGGTGGAGGTTTTCGATCAATAACAGAACCTACAATAGTGATAAGTTTTGAATTTCTTGATCAACTGAAACTACAAAAAACATTAGAATTCAAAGTATGTCTATGATAATGAGAAATTAACGTCAATATCGTTTATGTAAGTCATTTTCTATAAAATCTGGAAAAAAAAATTATCATAAAGTAGAGATATGATATATCCTAAAAGTTGTATTTAATAAATTAAACGGATCTGTAAAGCTATCAACGTTAAGTACATTACATAATTTATTAAGATAATTATTTTATATATTCTACAAAAATGTCTTCTACATAGACTAAAATTAAAGATACAGCAAATGTTCCCGTTTAAAAACATGCCATGGATAAACACAAAAATTTCTAATATGTCAGACGCAAAATATGAGTCATAAATGGCAAGACCTTTAGGGAAACTGAAAAATTTCATTTCAAGAACATCTTATTTCTAGAATATGTGTAACAATATCCCTCACCTCTTCCCTGCCTTTTGTTTGTGCTATTGGGTACACCATTTGTCCCTCTATGATCTTTGGGAGGTGGGGGTAATGACCTGCCCTCGTTGACTACAGAAAGAGCATGCTAACATATACATGCATTCGAACATTATAAACATACATAGAAAACAAAGAGAATAATGAAGTTTTTGAGTTTTGATGATTTCAAGCTTAAGATGATTACAGATCAGACACAGACAGAGATATGATCAGCCGGGCAGGTATCACACATCATACACAATTGTGGGATTCTCAGTTTTGCTTTGCAATTTCTATAACTCTAAAACAAGCTACTAGTATTCAAATTTAAATGTTCTGCTCGATAAAAAAAATCGACTTTTTTTAAAAAAAAAAATACCAAGTTAAAATAGTTGAATACCCATAAATGTCATGTTAAGCTTGGCAAGAAATTTGACCACGCACCTGACAAATATGTGCATATATATCGTAAAAATAACTAACTGAAAATATCTTGCATGCAGGCATTAAACATATTTCATATGCTGAAAGAGTACATGCAGTTGAATAATACCGAGAGCAATTTAATACTCATTCACAAACAATGAACATTATGTTAACTTACTTGGAGTGGCTTTGTGTGGGGTCTTTGATGTTGGCACAGGAGGTGGTGTGTTTTCGTCTAATAAAATAACAATTATTGAAATCAAATTTAAGCAGTAACTAAACAGCTTCGTTGTAACTGTAAAAGAACAGATTTCAAGACACAAATTCCACTTGCATGAGGGGAGAAAATACATGTATATCAGTAGGTAAACATATATGTATACTGATGTTATGACCGTTATACATGACTGAGTTCAGTTATTTACATTCAAGCAAGGTTTACCTTGAGAACCCCTGTGACGGCCTTGTGACGATGGAACAGGTGGAGGGGCACTTTCATCTGTAAATTGTAAATCCACAATTATCTCGAATCTTAGCCTTCTTTTCTTCGGCGATAATTTTTAGAACAATGATAAATGCCAGTTTAAACTCTCTTTTTTCATTTATACATATAAATATATTTTATGACATTAAATTATATTGTTTTATCATGATATATACAGATATATACACTCATCAAGTTATAAGAAAGGTCTAATATACCAATACTTTCTTTGTCTTTGAAAAGAAACTGATTTTTTATAGCCAAACTAACAAATAAATAAGTTGAAAAAAGAAGCAGATAGATTTCAAATTGAAATCTTACCTCTCGATGAGTGCTTTGTGTTAGGTGAGTCTGCTGTAAAAAGTGTTTGATTTTGAATTACCGTATACAGGGTTATTTACAAATGTATGTAACGACGAACAATGTTGTTTCAGCTGAATTCTACCCGTTTTGAATTCGCCCAATGAAGACCAGTGCGAAAATAAAACGGGAGATAAATTTCCCTGTATACAGTATTGTGTTAAAACATAAGTTTTGTGACCTTTTTTTCTTTAGTATATACATTTTGCAATCAACAAGCACATATACAATAAAATTAGTTTCTATATTAGTGTATATAAGGTGAACTGAACTATATAAGAGATAAGCAGCGACTCACTGACATTAATGTTCCTTCATGTACATTCACAAACACACAAGCATTGTGATAAAGAGAACATCATATAACAAAGCTATTATTGTACACACCAGCAAAGTCAGGCCTAACACCTATTACAGGAACTGCTCCTGCTGGAAGCTTTTTGCCAGATTCTACAAATATCCAAGATGTCATAGGCAGATTCAGACATGCATATATTCATACGTATCCTACATGCCTTTTATGATGCAGTGAGATAAGAATAAGAATTGTTCAACGTGTTAGATAACAACATTGTGCACATTTTAAACACATTTAATATAAAATATAAATGCTAAATTATATCAAAGCTTTCTTGGAAAGAAAACAAAAAAATGCAAACTAAAAAAAATTAGATTAACTATTATTAAAGAATTGAGATGCAATTAAAACTGGTAAACTTAAGAAAACACATATTTCGTTAAAAGATATTTTTGAGCAATGTGCAATACAAGAAATTAAAGACTTTACATTTAAAAAGATAGAGATTTCTTTTAAAACATTTATTACCAGTTGTTTGAGGTGGAAACACAGGAACCCCTTTCGATTTTAATCCACCTTTAGGTTCTGAAAGTTTAAATAACTTTACAAAATACAATACAGTGGATATATAGGTAATTACCTAACATTGAATAATATACAAAAGCAGTCTTAATCAAACAACATAATTCTTAAAGCCATGCATAATCAATAACCATATTTCAAGCAAATCCCTCCTGCAATCGGTTATACATATCTTCATCTAACAACACATAAATGTTGTCAAAGAACACTTACAATCCAAAAGAAACATGCTCATTTTTTTCTAATCCATATTTTTTCACATTTGCCTACTTAATACAAGTACATGTATTATTTAAGTGCCTTCAACAAGCAGTATTGATGCACAAATAAGCATATATTGAATTACACAAGGAAACGTTTTCTGTGCAGTTACATGTAACGAGTACCTCTTGGTGCTGGGGGTAACCTTTCAATTGGTGGTATCTCGGCTGAAAAAAACCCAAGAAAATTGAAATTTAAATGAAAAATAAAGGTATCCACGTTTTTAAGGATGATGTATCAAAAACTTATGAAAGAGAGGAATGTATAAGCTTTAGTTTTCAAATGCACGTCTAAGTTTACGACAGCAATACTGTACGTTTGAAAAGTGCTTTTTTTTTTTTTTTTAAATAAGATTGAAATATTTGCAGACACTGATTCATCTTTTGTGCACTTAATAATTAAATGCGTTAAGTTTTATTTTTTGATTACCTGGATCAGGTTTTTCGTAATCTTCTTCATCATCACTTTCCTGGGCCTTTCAGAAAAACATAATTGAAAATGAGACGAAACATAATCAATTGAGAATACGATGATTGATATACGATGGCTCTTCATGTATTTTAGGAATGACTCTAATTCTTGGCCAAATTACTCGAGTATAACCTGGTTTGGGTCAGTTTACGCTTTATAATCCGCGAAGCGGATTATAAAACAGCGTAAACTGACCCAAACCAGGTTATACTCGAATAATTTGGCCAAGAATTAGAGTCATTCCTTATAATTTAATTTTAAAATCATTAAATAACTATGGGTGTAAATTTTCCTTGCTTTTTCTTAGTTCAAATTTGCTGCTCAATAATACAACCATAGTAACGGAAGTAACAGAAGTGATGAGAAGCGAGGGGAGGTAAAAACTGATACACAGGCCTAGCAGCCTTGTTGTTTATTTACATGTGGTAAGATCGAATTATTGTTTGAAGTTAAAGGTACATCTATTAAATATGGAATTTTCCCTGAATCCCACGGACTGGAAATGAGAGGATATTGTTCCAGCTGGTTGTCAGGGGGGTGTGTCCCCATACCAAACCAGGTTATACAGAAATAATTTGTGTTCCTTTTTGGATATTAACCAATCAGAGGCTAGAATACAAACAAAATTAAATTATTTCTTATTATGACTAGTTATGGTACCAACTACAGGCATGAATACTGTTGATCACCATCTTATTTTCGGGATATGGTTCTTAATTTTGGTATTTCAGAAATTCTAAGCGAGAGAATTATTTTCACGGACTTAGATTATTGTTGTACATGTATTTAATCTTTAATAATACAAATATATGCAAACAGACAATCTTGCATAACTATGCGAAAAAAAAGTTCTCGTGAATTAAAAGTGATTTGCATTAAATAATGAATTTCCTTATCTAGTCAATAGTAACATGCTAAACATAAATTTAGATAACACTTTTATTAATAAAAAATCTACATGTTAAACATACTAAACACAGGCCATTTTCTTCCAAATTGAATGAATATAATAACTTCAATATTTTATTTAATATGATATAAATCTGATTAAGAGCTGTTCGATTTACAAGCATTTTTAAAGATTAGCAATGACATAGGTGTAGTTGCCGAATAAACAATTCTGAAAACATTATAATGGAGGCAAAGTTGATAACGTACCTTGTCGGCCATCGCCATATAGTCTGTAGAAAAATAAGGTGGATATTTGTGTTAAACTTTAATTTTCAATCTATTTATATTTCAAGATTGCAGTAATATACATGTATAAATGCAAATTAAACTGAAAGCGAAAATGGTATGCATAAAAAATAACTGCCATCACCAATAAGAAAAAAAAATACAATTAAATTAAAAAAAAGAAAAAAAAAACCCAGAATAGAATGTGAATCAATACTGCTTTATGACAAGGCACAATACAAGATATTCAAATAATACAAGCAAATCAAATTTATCATTTACCAAATACAATACAAAGTATGCACGTAGCAGAATCCATAAACAGCCTTACTGACGCTACAAAAGGCTATCTACACCTCTGTAAACGGGTATATCCTAGAATGTATCACAATATGCATGGGGGAAAAAAGTAAAGGAGCATGCAGAACAACAGGATTGAAAAAGAGTGGATTTTCGAAATATACATCTATGTGTCACATTCAGCATGAAAGCAAGTAAGTTATCATCAATATACTTAGACATTTACAATATATAGCTTGAATAGATAACACGTTTATATAATCATAATATTGCAAATTACATCAAATGCTCATGCTAATAAATATTTCTATCTTTTTGTCTCAAACAAAAAAAGATTGATCAAACAATATATTCATTAAGAAAAAAGAAAAACAAACCAATTGCATAAATCAATTACAAAATATTATTTTTACAGCAATATTTAATATAGCTTCTGAAGCTTCTTCCTCACAAGAAGAAAGGACTTACCATCTTCCGGCGGTTTTGGAGGACGTGGCACGTTCCGAGTTTTACTTTTAATTACATCAGGACGAGAGGGTTCCGGTTTTTCATAATCACTCTGTGCATAAAAATCAGTTTTAATTAAGCACACAAATATTATTTTTAAAACGTTCGAGCTCATTTTATCGGCTCTAAATTCATATTTGGGTAAACAGTACATTTCAGAAAGTGAAGAAGAAATTTATGGAACACAGTGTTAATCTAATTTCTTTTCTTTCTGTCAAATGAACATATTAGTAAATGAATTTTTCTTTAGATACCAACGTTTGTCAAAACTTTCAGCGCTCAGAATTTAAGTAAGTAAATACTGTACACCAACTTTTATCTGCGTCCGAGATTTCGCGAACTTCTTTTACTCGCGGATATTTCTCGCCCCAAACAAATCGTGTATTTTGTAATGTGCAATACGTTTCCTAGGTCACAAAAATTATTTTTGTGTACTGATTAAAAATTCATCAATCGAAAAAGATAATCATTAATGATAATAATTGGTTTACAGTATACTTATGATATATTGCTGACTGAATACTGAGTAATTCAGGTAATTATTATCATGATAAGAATGGTTTTTATTTCTATTTGAATGATGAGAGTGGTGTAAAATAAATTGTTGACTGAATGCAGCATTCCTGCTCTGTCAAAAAACAAGTTATGATGTTTTTAAATTTATTGTCGGTATTCTTATGTGAACTTTGGAGTTCTGTACCAGTTTAATTCCGATCAGGGAATTAAAGTCTTAACACATTTAAGTCTACACTTTATAAGGATGTTGATTTGACTTATGCTAAGCCTCAGGTGCTTGAAGTTCAATCTACACTGTTTTTATCACACATACAAAGGAATATAACCCCATACACCATCATTCTGTAGCTATCACGTTATCATTTATTTATTTTTTGTGATGTGAAAAATATATAACGTTAAGTGCCTTTCTTCCTTCTAGACCTTATCGACCACTGATGCCTTGAGTTCTCAAGTCTTCCATGTTCACAAAACGCATATTAAGCGGACATTTTGTAGCTTGATGGACTTTGTGAAGAAGAATATAAACGCCTTTGTTAAAGTTAAACGTTAAGGTGTGACCCCCCTCTATCCTCAGTGGCAAAAATGGTAAGATAACTAAATTTATAAATACATATTTATGTATTTATAAATACATATTGTCAAGTTTGAATCATCATTAATTAATGAAAGCGATGGAAGTGCTAGTAAGAAATGTCACGTAATTTTATTTCAATTTTATCTTTTTTATTGTTATACATACCAAAATGCAGAAAATAATATTTCTTGCTATCATGCAATTACTCAGGGATGTTAAATTCCACATGCACATTGTTTTATATTACTTCGACTTTTTCAAAATGGTTGATAAAACATAACGAACATAAACATGACCTAATCTGTGTGCTTCCTGTACATAATGACACATTTTAATAACAATTATCAGAACAATGAGCTTAAGTACATATACTTCTCTTACATTTACTACTATTAAGTGCAAAGCTCCAATATATACAGTGCATGTAATTAACAACAGCGACCAGAGCATATACTTATACATATCACCTTGATATTCTACAGCTATAATATCAAGTACATCAAAAATTAATATTGTGAACAACTGCGTTTACGATGTCTGACATGTAGCACTGATTTGATTGTCCATTCCCATCTCTAACAATAATATTCAAAAGCCTGTGTTGAAAAACAGTAAGGACAGTTCGAAATGATTCCGATCTCCTTCAAAAGCATGTTAAAACTGACAAAGGCATTTTGTCCTGTTATATACTACTGGCTGAAGGTATTAAGTTGAATTTATGACACATACTGATGCAAAACTGCATGCTGTCGGGTATTCTTTTTTATGTAGATCAAAATGCCTTTCATGGGGAACACCATGCTATGTGACAACTACCAAAACAGCATCATCTTCAGACTTATAGAGCAAAAAGACCCACATTTTAAAATACTTCGTATGAAGGAATGCAAAGCCTGCATTAATTGTCTTTTTCTTTTCTATAATCTTTACTTTTAACCACTTTTTGGAGCCTGTACGCAGATCCATTTTAACAATAAAATACATTTAAATTTTTATCATTATTGCATTCAACCAGTAATTTTTAGTCTTAAATAACGCTGCTTTGGATATACACAAAATTTTACCTTTTTCGTGGGTCTCCAGTTCTATACAAAAGACTGTATATGTAATATGAAACAAGAAAGGCAGAAAGTGGAATTCATAAAACAAAATCTAAAAATACTCTTACAGAATTCGAGTCATCGCTATTGTGAGGGTCTGCTGGGACGGGCGGCGGCCGTCGCTTTTGATTTTTTCCGTGGCCACCTCGAGGAGGGGGTGGGGCCGGCATATCGGGCTCTGATACTGTTCTGGCTAGGTTTGGAATATTTTTGTTGGGATTAGGAACAGGTGGCATTTTAGGCTGCAAAATAGAAGTATAAAAGATCATTATGTCGGAAAGTGGTCTATATATTGGCTTAATACATGTACATGTATAGTGAAATTCTGACAAGAAATAAGACGTTTATTATAATGAAATGGTCAAGACTTATATATCTTTAACTCACATAAAGAATAATTTCCAAATTTTGAATATTATATGATCATAGACATTTTGAATAATCAATACCTTTGATCTCTGAGGTATAGGAGCGGGGGCTACGTCGGGTTCGTTATCTGGATCTTCATAGACATCCTGAATAAGAAAGGCATAATCTGTATTGCTTTAAAACAAAAAATGACAAAATGCATGTTCTTTTTACAAAATAAATACTGAAATAGAAATCAGGTGAAGGCAGAACAAAGACGTTTAACCCTGAGTAAACATTTTCTGGAAAGTCATCCAAGTTTATTTTTCTTTAAATCGAATAATTTTCATATTCACGATAAAAATAGTTTGCAATGTTCTAGATGTAAAAGCTACTAGATCAGCATTATGTTAATGCACATTTACAACTTTCTATACCTCTGGCCAGTCAGATGCAGGGGGTGGGGGTTCAGCTGGCTTAGGAGGAAGCCGCTTACCACCTCTGCCAGGGGGTGGTGCTGGTGCATTGTCTGTTTCATCGGGATCTTCGTACGTAGGCTGAAATACAATGAAAACTAATTACATGCATTAAAATAAACAATAAATTTTCCATTAGGAAAACTATTCCAATAATGAAGATATCGAAATTTTTATAAAAATCCATGAAATACTAGAGACAAAATGCCAATTCTCTCAGCGAATTCAGTCAAATGTCATACTTAAGAAATGAATTTAATTTTTGAGAATTCATTAGGACACGAATTACGACGCTTCATGCCTGCATATTTCATGAAGCGCGTTAGTGCTTCATGATAAATATGCAGGCGTGAAGAGTGGACGTTCATGTACCTCAGGATTTCTCAAAAATTAAATTCATTCCTTATATTAACATTATTTTTCTGATGATTTGCCAAATCTTTCGGCATTCAACGATCATCTTTGAAAAAAAGTTTGCACTATTTTTTGACTTCAATTAGGTCGCAATGGAACTATTCTTACTCCTCCCACGGAAGTTCATGAGATCATGAACTTTTTCTAATTTGCAAAGAATTTTAAAGAAAAATACTGGAAATGTAAATATATACTCATGAGAGGCAAATTTCTGCAACTCACCTGATCATCTACTTCGGGTAGAGGGGGTTTCATAGGGGGACGGGATGCTGGAAGTTTTGGAGCAGGTGAAGACATCTCCTCTGGTACCTCATAGTCCGGCTTTAAATTAAGAGCGAATAATTTCTTATTTGATGTTTTAAATACTTAGCCTTAAAATATTTTTTGAAACCTTTAAATAGGCAAATATAGATATTCAAAATGTTCAAGTTTCATAAATTTTGATCCAAGAGTGTAAAATGTTTGTTTTTTCATTCAAATAATCGAGATTGTACAATGGGTTTTAAAATATTTTACCACAGGCAGCACCAACGTTCTCAAATGAAGAATATATATATATATATATATATATATATATATATATATATATATATATATATATATATATATATATATATATATATATATATTCTTCTATTATTCCAAGCTCTCTGATTGGCTAAAATGGATCAAATGATCAAGTATATAACAGCATATGGACTTATGTTACTATTTAAAGATTAGATTCTGAAATGCATATGGACCTTGCGTTTCTAAAAATGGAAATAATCTTCTATTAAACAATAATAGTGTTGACGTTACATAGCTAACATTACTTAATTGATGTTTCTAAAAAAACAAAACAAAACAAAAAACAGATACTTTAGTGCCTAAATATTTTAAGGTATTGTGATGTTTTATAATAATTGTTAAGAGGTAACAATGCCTTGAATATTGATCTACTTTATGCTAAAACAAATTTGATAAAATTTTCATAAATTGATTTTAAAAAAACGTAATAAAACAAAATGTAGCCTTATTAATAGGTACATTTCCTATAATACTCTAGTAGAGGTATAAAGACACAATGACATTAAACATGTAACTATAAATTGATCTCTATATGAAAATTTAAATTTTGCTTTTATTATTTTCAAATTTTGTCATTCCATACTCTCTAAAAAATAATATAACAAATGTAGCCCTTTTATCCAGTCAATCCATGCTTGACTGAAATTGATTCGTATAGTATTTCTAGAGACTTTGAAAATATGAAATACACAATATATACTGACAGACATGGACAAAATCCTATCGTAAAACTGAAAGTTAAATTACGTGGAAAGGAAAGGTTGCACATCAGTACATTACTGAAATTATAAATGTATAAGGATGCAAAATTATATGTTTTTATTTAATTAATATAAAAGCATACGAACACTTAATATTATTATTTAAATTCAAGAGCGTTAATGATAGTTCTGCTTCGGTGTTTAATTAAATTGTGCTTGTATGGTACAGTATTATATAATGAGTATGAATCAAATTGAAAACTACAATAATGTCAGATAATCTCAATATTATAATTTAATGTCCAGTTACATATATACATTTTTTTCATCTTGCAACTTTTTGTTAATTTGATTTAAAAAAAATACTACAAAGCTATAGCAAATCATTACAACTGAATAACAGAGATAACTATACACACACACATTAAGATAACTGACAGAACTATGAAACATGATATGAAGCCTCCTTGCAAATATCAAATTCAAGCATATTTCAATATCAAGCAATTATAAAATTTCATTCGATATTGCAAAGACATGACTATAGATTTGGGATTCAAAGACATATCTGATTTTAAAATGTAAATGATATTCAAACTTCATATGAAATAATGTATTTTTTAACAATAACAATTTATATTGCGAAATATCGTAATAATATCTAAGAAAATCATAACCACCAAAAAGGCCGAAGTCGAAATATCCTCTGAGATCTACGAGTATTTACAACATACGAATAAAAGGAAAACCTAGCTATTGCTCTATTAAATGAATTTGTGACCAAGTAAAGTATGCTGTTTTCGATTTTTAAAAGGAAAATTGACTGCAAAATTACACGTATATGAACATTATACTTACTCTTTTTTTCAATGTTGATATGAATTGATTAAAATTATTATATTGTGAAAGGTTCAAGGTTAAAAGCTACATCGGTAAAATTCCTGATAAACAAATCGTTTTGTACAAACACTACCAGTACACATAACACTATTTTGATTAAAAAAAAAGTTCTATGGTGAATATTTCGGAAGTAGAAATGTGATATACATGAGGTAAAAGCCTTGATAGTTGTGAGAGAAGCAGAAAGGCCTGAACATCAAACCTGATTGAGCAAAGGATCATCCGTTTCTATATAAGCAGGCTGTAAAAACACAGTATATGTTATACACATTTCAGTTTCTAGAGAAGCAGCCCGTAAATCGGTATATTGATAGTTTGATACACTTGTAAACACAACAAAAGACCGAATAAATGTAAAATAAATGTAAAATATATCATACGACAGTTTATTACAGAAAGGGCTATCTGAAGCACACATGAAAATAACAAAAAACAAAACAAAAAACAAAAACAATAAAATACAAATTAATTAACTCTTATAAGTTACACTACATCATACATCTAGAAGCAAGGCTTGAATATCTCATGTCGATACTTTCGAGTTAAAAATGTTTTTCGTGCTGTTGTCCAGGATCAAAGTCAGTCCCATACTCATTTAAAATGACAATATGTTAGTAAATTATATTGAAACATTCTGAAGAAAAAAGTAGACGTAGGCACCACAGTCAAAATTGTTAAGATGCAAATCATCAAAGCAACAGTAATCGTGCTGTAGACCATTTTATTTGACATCCAATGATTTAATAAATGAAATGCATGCAAAGCTAGGTGAAATAGAGAATCACTTAATTATAGACGATTCTTCTACAGAAAGTTGATAGCTTAACGTGCACGAAAAGGTAATCGGGTGTAATCAGACGTGTCTTCTAATTTTCCCAAGTAGTAAACCAACTAATATAAGTTGTATAGTGTTACAAATATCTTATTAGAAGACTGTTAAATGATATAAGGGTTTTATATTGATCGGCAGTATGAAGACTACTTTTAATATAAAAGACTGTTAACTGTGAAATAAGGATTTGTATTGACCAATAGTGTGAATGTTATTACTTATAAAAAGACTGTTAACGGTGATATATGGGTTATATTTATGATTTATATTGATTATCAGTGTAAATGTTACCTGCTCCTCTGGCTCTGGTAGAGGTGCCGGTTCTCTGCGGTTTCTTCCAGGTCTGGGAGGTCCAGAGGACGGGGGTATTTGTGGTGGTGGACGCTCAACTGAAGGTTGAACATTTCAAAATTATGTTACCTTTTACCAACCAAGGCAAGATTGTAAAACAAACGCCCATGAATTACTGATCTACATTTTAAATCTTGTATTACCTCCCCTTCCGGGTCGCCCAGGTCTTGGTGGAATGGCAGGTTCTTCCGGCTGCGGAGGTCTTTCTGGAAAGACAATAAGACAATAGAATAAAGGTTATGAAATTCGGCATCTCAGTTAAAATTACCTTGCATTGATAGGCGCCATAGGGAATATAACCATAACTTACAAATTACAGCATCTGTTAATATTGACTGGACTGTCTTAAATAAAGTGGCTTGAAAACAATAATGAAATTGCTTAGTATGAATATTATAAACTCCACCAATTAAGTATGTAATAAAATGATAATAGCTAAAACCCTTCACTATTTACAAATCTACACACTTTATTTGCAATGTGCAATCTTCAGGTATATCGTCTCAAAACAAACAACTACTTACCAGACATTAAAACTTCTGTATATAGTATGTAAAAAAAAAAAAGTGCAATGTATATTGGCTCGGTATTAAACTTTTGTATCAAAATAACTTCCTCGCTGCATCTTCTTGATGTTATGTGCATAATTGGTTATTAAAACTTTTTGAAATGGTGACAGTCAGTACCCAGTTTTACCCAGCGCTTCAAAACAGTTAGTACATTGTGCTCCTTTGTTATGTTTTGAGCTGAAGTTAAGAGTGTTGCTGGAAGTTATCCCAGTAATACATATATGAGACAAATACAGATAAATTTGTCTTTTTGATATTTTGATTGGCAGTTTTCCTTGTTTGTTCCAAGATTTTACTTGGATTGCTAATTTGGGGTACTACCATAAACAATGCATTTCGCGATTGTATGTTTTGATTTACCTTTGTCACTCATTTATAGTTAAAATTAAACGATTCTAAGTGATTTTTCAAATTACGTATAATTTTAACTTATTATATACTAAAATTGTTTCTTAGAACTTCCGCATATTCGTCAAGTTATTATATATATCTGTATTATGTGAGTATCAGTTTGTAATTCAAATCAGTAATTATTTTGTTCATGTATACTCCAAGATTCAGTGTGTATGTTTAGTAAAGTTAATAATTTTTAATCCTGATTTGTGTTACATTACCAGTATTAGATTTTTTTAACATGAACGTTTCTCGAAGAGATAAAACTGTGTCTTGTTGATGTCGGTATCATCAATGTATTTATAGTATAGATTAATTAGTACATTGAATTCACCTTGCTAGTGTATGTGCAAGTTTTCAGAAATATTTTAGTTAATGACTTCTTTATCCTTCTACATTAGATTATGTGTGTCATTTTGTAATTCAGCTAGCACTTTATCTGTGATGTCTCCAGATGGTATTATATTTTGTGAAACAGTTTTAAAAGTATTGTCTACGTATGTAATGACTTTAAATGTAAATTTCAATATTTTGTTCTACAGTACAATTATAACCTTTCATTTAGTGCCTTTATGTAATTATATATATATCCTTTTCTGTGGTTCAATGAGGTGCTTATTATACTTCTCGGTGTCCCCATAATTTGTGTAAGTGTTTTACTGTATGGCATACCTCTATATATCACAATATTTTGTGCTACAGTTCACTTTAAGCCTTGTATGTTATGTATCTATTTGACTATGGGTTCTCTGTTTGACACCTCTAGTAAAAAGCTATGTTTTGAGCTAAATTGCAGTTACTACATGAACCTTGTTTGTAATACCAACCCTAACAAAAATTTACTATAGTTAACTATAGTAAAAACTTTGATACTTTGATTTACTATGAAACTTTACTCTGGAACTTTTGTTGAGACTTCAAAGCTTAAAATCTCATTAATTCGGTAAAAATGATGTAAAATTTGGAAATAATATGTGAATATACAAATAAAAATTCCATTTATTATAAAAAAAATATGCATGTATGAATTGAAGAACAAAAAATATAATAATTTGAAATCCATAGTAAAAATACATTTATTTACTATAGTAAAAACGTGGATACTATGGTAAACTATAGTTAACTATAGTAAACTGTAGTTAACTATAATTTTTTATGTACGGGAAAATACAGTAAGTGCCTTGTACATGTATAATGCTTCCAGATATCACTACAGTTTGTGTTAGAAATCAGTTAATATCTTGTTAATGTTTTTGATGTCTGTTCGGTTCAATAAGTACATTGTGTGATAACTCTAGATATCATTACGACTCGGCTACAGTTCAGTTAACATCTTGTGTGTTATGCACTAATATTTCAAGTACCTTGAATACTGCTTTTTACACATGTAGATATCACTACGGTTTGTGATACAGTTCAGTTAATATCTTGTATGATACCTCTAAAGTTTAATAAGTACTGTGGTGCCTCTAGATATTACTGCAGTTTGTGCTACAGTTAATATCTTTATGTGATGACTCTTAAGTTCAAGAAGAACCCTGTATGGTGCCTTTAGTTATCACAACGATGTGTGCTACAGTTCAGTTAATATATTGTATGTGATGCCTCTTAACTTCAATAAGTAACTTGTACAGTGCCTCTAGATATCAGAACGGTTTGTGTTTAAGTTCAGTTAAGATGCTTTGTGCTACACTTTACACTGAACCAGATATATGCCTCCAGATACCCCTAAGATTTGTACTACAGTTCTGTTAGTACCTTGTCTTTGGTGACTTTGGTTTACTTTATTTCTCTGCTCTAGAGCGTGCCTTAGGGAATCAGTTATAGAGGGTCCGTTCCTGCTACTATCCTCATCACTGTGTTCAGGGCTATAGTTAGCATAATCCTCCTGGGGTTCGGTTGGTTCCACTATTTAGACAAGGACGCTTCTATTTCACGTGTTCATCTCAATTTGGTTGTTAGTAGATACTACTGAACATGCTCAATAAGGTTAAAAGGTTTTCTTAATATGTACATGCAAATCTTCAAGATTCCCTCCACATATTTTCTACATAATGTTAATGATTCAAGGAAGAGAAAGGTATATCGTGGCGATCAAAAACAGCATATAGTTGGATTAGTTGTTTTGTTATTAATTAAAATGTTCTCGCAAAATGGACTTGTTTAAGATATTAGTACTTGGCAAACTTTTGTCATTTAATACATCATGGCTCACCATCTCATTATTACGTATTTCTTTTGTTAACTTTTAATTTCCAGTGGTTTGAAGCAGTTCTAGTAGTCCTTTCATATTAACTAAAATGCAGCAATATTGATTCTTAATTTCATTATCTTGTAATTGACACTAATATTTAATGAATGTTTGTAGATACATGAGTCTAATTCATATGTACTGTTTACCCCTCGGGCAAAATACTTGTGGTCTGTGTAAATTTACAAGATATTATATTTGTGTCTCAACCTATAACGACAGCATCGTCAACTTGTACCCGGTAACAGAAAAAAGCATCAGGTATTTTTTTTTTGTTTCGAGAAGCAAACAAAGGAAGTTTTTCAAAAATGAAAAAGCAAACTACGAAAAGCAGAAAGAAAAGCAACTCTCTTTCTCCCTATTAAGCTACCGTAAGATTTTTCCTCTCGGTATTCTAGAAAGATATACTAGGAAAGAATATGTTTCGACATTTCTTGTTACACAGCAGAAAACCTAAGTTCAGGATACGAATCCAAGTAACAAATAATCCAAAGGAAACACTGCCTTATGTGAAATCACTGTGCAACTTACCAAGAATCGGAGAAGATACAGAAACTTTTATCCCTTTTCTAGAATACACCCTTGTAGGTCTTTTCTCTGATGGAGAATGTCCCGAGGAATGATTTCGAAATATTCCTCTTAGAGTCATAGTTCCTTTGAAAAACATTTTCACACGGTTTTCAGGGGGTAAACTTGAACTCCGCCGATGGCGGGCTTTACTTAATCCCCTTTTTTCGAACATTTTCAGTCTGCCTTTTTTAGCTGAATCCTTCGATCTAATTTCAACGACAGTGTCATCCTTTATTACAGGGGATGTACTCATTGAATCAGCTACCATTGATCAACAAGAAATATAGCAAAGCACTCACAAATATGAAAATAATCCAATCAATTTCATCTACATATTTCACATCACACACATTCTGACTACAGAGTCATTTAGTTAAGTATTCAGTGTTCCAAATTAGGCCAGATTATCCCCTTTTCAGTCCCCGTGTACGCAAGCCGGCATCATTTTTGTGATCATAACCCCTTGAACATGACTCTGAGTCATTTACTTCTCATTTCTACGTACGTCAAAATAGTTCAACGTGTCCAATATGCTCGTAATGTGTTTACAAGAGGATGAAGGTCAGAATTTTGACGGCATATACGGAATTTGATGGATGAACTTGTATATGTGAAAGATGTCATGCTTCATTGATTCTTCACCAACCTTATGGTAAATGTACCTAATATTACGGTTATATGGTGCAATTATAAACACACTTATCAATGGTGCCCTTTAGCATTATCACTGTTCATGTTTACAAGTTTGGTTAATAAAGATTTATACTGCATTAACGTGTATTTCTTAAATGAAACTAGAAAACTAAACATTTACAATTCCATTTTTTTCATAAGATTTCTTTTAATTTTTGAAATGTTTAATTCGTTTTCTCGAAAAGAAAATAACTGGACAACATAATGTTTTAATAAAGAAAAACCGAATATATCCATGCACAGCTCAATAAAGCTGAATAAAATAGCTGAATGAAATCCTGTTTATAAAGTGTGTTATTGTTGTGCTCTCTCATGACCACTAGATTAATGAAAACATTGAATGACTAAGTATCGCAAGACAATTACCGGTGTTATTCCCGTGTCGTGTAGACCATTCTGTGACCTACTTAACAAATGTACATTAATAAAGTTTTCCTATAAATTCAGATCGGAAACAGCTCTTTTACAGTAATAACCTACTTGACCTATTTCTTAATAAACAAAAGGGACTTCATTAATGTATATATGTACAATAAAAAAAAATATCAAAACAAGAAAACTATACCTACATGCAATTTAAATTGTAAAATATACATGTACATGCAACATATAAAACCGTCCGGGTACTTTTTTTGTTTTCTCAGAAAAAAAGGTTGTTAAGTTAATTTATCAAATGCTCAGTATGTTATATCATATTGAATGCAATTGGCTATATAAAACAAGTTTAATTCAATTAAGAACTAGGCATACCAAAAAAAAACACAAAAAAAAAAACTGCGAATAAAACTTTCATGACCATGGACGAAACATGCATTCAAAACCGTGTAAACTGAATTCATGCATTTAATACAGTGTGGATACCCAAAAATTCTCGTTAAAGATTAGTATGTAGTATAAATAATTAAAAATATGAAATTAAAACAAAATAATAAATCTCTAAACATTTATCAAAACCTGTTTAAAGCAAAAATTAAACATTAAAAAGAAATCGTCGTGCATTTAAACGAGTTAATAGTTTCCCCAATTGTGATACGTCTACTTACAAGATGTTTATAATCACAATACAAAGAACTTTATCAAAATTATGACAAAATCTTTTTTTTTTCAAATTGTTTCTACATAAAAGATAAAATTAACATTAATGACAACTGAAAACAGCTCAAACGTATGACATAAAAATAATCCTTTTAGAACGTTATCAAAGGAAAGCAATATACACATGAACTTAATTGTCAAAAGTTAACAGCAAGATTAAATTTTAATACTGAATCTCAACAAAGCTAAATGTGAAGCCTGGGCTGTGTTCAAGATCGTGAAAAATATGCTAGTCTAACCGCTACGTATGTTAATTCATACAGTGCGTTCGATATACCGAGATATCTATCCTAGCGGGTAGGCTAGCTCTTCCAATCTTTAATGCATCCCAGATCATTAATCATTAGAGAAATATGGTGGAATCGTTTTAATTCGTTGGGGGTCAATGTTCGTAGACAACCAAAATGTTACTTCTTAATGAGGAAGTTTTGTGGGATATTCGAGTATTCAGAAGATTCAATGAACCGATACATTGGCACAATATGTAAAATCGTAAGAGTGACCCATGAAATCCACGAACATGGATCCCGCATACGGATCCCGTACATACGAACAACGATTCCGCAGTAGATGCTGCGCTGAGATTAAGTTACACATAGCCACAATTTGAAAAATAAAATATTTCAGGTCATCTTACCTGGAATTCTTGAATTTGGTTTCTTTAATGACTTTTGTTCGTCCTCATTTGTGTAATCTACGTCCTGTAATAATATGACGTTGATAATTTGTTTTTAAAAGAAAATTACCATCAAACGTAGATTTGTTATGCTAGAAGAGATTTAGGCATTTTTAAATATGCTAGGGTTACGATATACTAATATTTGTGCAAAACTGGGTTCCTTAACTTCCTAAAATATATAAACAAAATCATAGAAAATGTTACACTTCTTTTTGTATCTTTAGCCTGGCTATCACAATCACAAAAGTTACATACCCAGACGAGTTTTAAACTTTTAAACTTAAACTTGTTCCTCAAGATTATATGACAAAATTACAGCATCCATTAAAATGAAATTTACAAGAAAGATGTTTGTGTTTAATTTATACCAGTAATGAAGTCAAACGTATATGCAATACACACATCCGAAAGTGGTAATGTATTGTAGCAGTTACATGTAGGTGAAGTAATCATACTGTCATTAAAAATGGAGATAACCACGCCTTAAGCGCTTCAATACAAAACTTTTCTAATGCCCTTCATATGGTACTCCCTATTGGAGATTTATTCTGCACACGGAACATATCATGCGTTCTCTCAGTGCGTTAAATGAAGGTCGTGCGAGGTTCACGTCAAAACATGGATGAAGCAAAATAATCTCGGTCATATGTCAAAGAAAATCCAAATGCAGCATCCTTAAAATCTTATTCTTAACAACTTATGTGCGTAGTAAATTGATCTGATAATACCTTCCGCACAATTCGTTATCCATGACAGAATAAATTTCCTTTAAAAAACTTGAGGGACAAAGTTCAAGGTCAACTCTAGCTGAAGAATTAAAAAAAAACCATCTGTAATGTCCAGAAATTATTATCAGAATAGGGAATCCTAAACATACATAAATTTTGTTTATTTTCAACTTTTTGATTAGAGGCCAAAGGATTGTGGTATTAATTAGATTAATTTTAAAAAAAAAATAATTACTAGAAATGAAAGTCAAGCAAATGAAATGTCAATCGCAATGGCTGATTTGCAAAAGTTTGAAAAATATGCTAACGGGTCACCCACAACAGATCTTAAATTAACAGCTAAACAAAGTCGTTCAGGAGTTGCAGATCATCAATCCTTTTTCTGGATTTGTCTTCGAAAGTAAGAAAAAAACAAACAATATCTGCAACCATACTTTCTTAAATGCATGTAAAATGTTCCATATACGAATATATCTACAATGTTACAGGTCGATTGATACACCAACAACAAACAGTGACCTGGTTTTTTTTAAATTATACAATTATAACTGAAATGTACATGCACTTAAATTTTTAATTTACATTACTTGTCTGAACAAGAGGCCCATGGGCCACAACACTCATCTAAGTTACTTTGGCCCTGCTGTTCTTCACCAGATTTTCCCCTTGTTATAATACTTATTGTGACCACACCCTACCCTCGGAGGTCATGATTTTAATAATTTAGAATTTACACTACCCCAGGATGCTTCCACATAAGTTCCATCATTGCTGGCCCAGTGGTTCTTGAGAAGAAGATTTTTAAAGATTTCCCCTACATATTTCAATGTAAAAATTGAATTCCCTATTGTGGTCCTGCCCTACCCCCGGGGTCTTGATTTTAACCATTTAGAATCTACACTACCCAAGGATGCTTCCATACATGTATAAGTTTCAGATTTTCTGGCCCAATGGTTCTTGAGAAGCTTTTTTATTGACCCCACCCTATTTTTGTCTTTTCTTGATTATCTCCCCTTGTAAGAAAACTTGGTCCTCTATTTTAACAATTTAAACTCTCCTTCATCAAAGGATGCTTTGTACCAAGTTTGGTTAAAATTGACCCAGTGGTTCTTGAGAAGAAGTTGAAAATATGAAAAGTTTACGGACGGATGATGGACAAAGGGTATCACTTGAGCTTTCATCTGAGGTGAGCTAAAATTAACGGAAAAAAATAAAGCGCTTGATTAAATGATTAAAAAAAACAAACCTACCGACGATGAATCATCGAAATTCTCGAATTCATCCCATGCTTCATAATCGTCATCTGATTCTGACTCTACGTCATTACTTGGTGGTGGTGGTTGTGGCTGCCTGGCTATGTAGTGGCATAAAAACAATATAAGTATTCGTTTTGAAGTATATATATATATATATATATATATATATATATATATATATATATATATATATATATATATATATATATATATATATATATATAATTTGAATTCGTGTGGGCAAAATTTTCGCGTTGTGCTTTCATTTCTTGGTTTCTTTGGTCTAATTAATGATTTGATATCAGAATCCTTACCCTCTATTCGTGAATGAACGTTTGGCCTGGAAGGTGTAAACGTTGACACTCTGTAATAAAAACATTAGTAAAATTATAATCGTCAGATATACATGCATATCTCGTTATTTATCACCATACCGATTTCAAGGAAAAATTGTTTAGGTGCTTTTTGCAATTAATAATAGATTTTTACAAAACAACTCATATTAGTGCAACGGATAAACATGATCCTAAGTACTTCAAGTAAGCTATGGTATATCTTGTATGTCTCAAAAAACATTTATCAACCTTAAAAAAGGTTCAATTTCGATACTTCATTTTCCAAGATGTTAAAGGATTTTTCGTTTAAGAATATTATTCATCTCATCTATGCAACTTTATCTAATACATTTCACAAAAAATCACAAAATGGCGTCTTATTAAATGCAAAATAACTGAATGAACACCAACATATTAGTGATATCATGTAAACATTCAAACTGAAAGTATACGTCTTTCAAAGCACTGAACATATTCTTTCATGGTAATTATTGAGCTTTCCTTGTAGATTGTCAATGAAACTGGAGATTTCGCAAGAAAGTCAAATTTTACTTACAGCCTCTTTATATAAAACGACATAATACACGTGAAGTATTTCTATTGAACTCCTCACAGCTATCCTGAGATATGAATATGCATGTCTGGCTTAACAAGACTGAACATTGATCGTTATTTTATCATAATTATGTCACTACCTATGTAAAACAGTCTATAAATTCAGGTCAAATACCTACATAAACATCAACTAAACTGACCATCACATGAAAATTGAATGTAATCTTAACACAAACGTGTCTAAAGATAGCTGGGAAAGTAAGAATATTTAGTATTTCAATATCATCTTTCACAATTTATAACTTCCTAGCAGCTTTATTTCTAATCAGAATAATTATTCACTCTTCAGATCCACATAAACTAAAAAAAAAACAATTAGTTTAACTGAAGTGTGGGTTGTATATATCAAAACACTTTAACTGAAATACAAAGAGGATATCAAAACAAAACATCGATACTAATAAGTTGCCACTGACAATAACATAGTGCATCTTTGGTACCATTATGCCTTGCTAAATTAAAACCTATTTTGATTTTTCTCTGGTGTACGAAAAACATTATATACACAAAACTCATAGGACAACCGAAACACTAAGTTAACATGCCACAAAAATACCACAAAAAGCGAAAATAAAAAGGAATAAATTCCTAAACTGATATCATAAATATTAATCAATCTTTGGTTATAACTTGTAGATTTTTGTTTGAAAAAAAACAAAACCAAAAACTACTTCATGCAAAAATCTTACCAAACGAAATCCTATTCGGTATTATAAAAGTAGAAGATTCACAAATTTCATTTGTCAATAAAACCCTCAAAGTTTAGATTTTCATCATTACGTTCTTTTTACAGAATTTGCCTAATGCACAGCATCCATAAAGACATTTCTGTGCATATTGTTTTTTGATTTTATCCGATTCCGTTGCCGTATGTGTCTATAATCAGCAATGATGATCCCTTCATGTTTCAAATTTAAAGATGCATGAAAAAGAGATTCCTAGACAATAGACGGATGAAATGCAACAGAAATGTAAGTAGATACAATTCAAATAAATTATGTACATTGTATTTTATTGCACTGTATTGATCTGTTAGATTTTACATTTGCACAGATTAGGTGAAACTTAAGTACAGTTGGTAAAATTCATTAGTTGAGCTTAGAAAGCCTTCATATTTAATATGATTTTAGATGCGCAGTCGAAGACAAACCAAGATGTATCGGTGCATACATTCAAACTTATATACTTACGGTTTGTGTAAACTAAACATATTACAAAAATAAAATGTAAAAATTACAAACTAGTAAATGTAATTTAATTTCAGGAAACAAAATAAATAAAAAAAATAATATAAATAAAATGATGATACTTGCCTTTGAACATAAAAACGCGTTTTCCCCATTTTTATTTTTTTTTCCCCTGAGCATGCGTATCTCAACGAAAAAAGAAAATTGAAGAACCAAAACGTTGACTATAATGAAAGTATTTTAAAATAAAAATAACGGACAGAATGAAATATTTTAACATAATTCTATCAATACTAGGAAGACATCCTGTGTTTCTATTAACATGACGTGAAATATTTTCTTTAGACGTTTTCTTCTTGCTCTAGAAGTTTTGTCTTTCTTTGCAAGAATACAACTTTGAAATACTTACGTTGGTGTCGACACGTCTCTGTTTGGAATATTCCTAATGCACTTAATTAAATCACTGGAATATAGAGAAAGACACGGGTATATTAAATGTTCAATGAATAATAAATATATCTCATTCTCATATAATCATTTTTGAAGTGTTCATAAGATTAAAAACAGAATTTACAACTCTAGCTTTCTTTAGCAAATGTGCTCTTTCTAATTTTAACAACTGATGCAAATAATACACATATTGGAAATATTAACAATATCTTTCATCTTTTAATATGAGCAAGCTAAAGCTGCAATTATTATTATGAACAGTGAGGTTTAACTATCAGTAAATAATTTGTAAGTAAAGTTGGAAAATGTTCAGAAAACAGCTTACAAGTGCATGTCTTGAAAAAAAAGAGCCTACATGTACATTGTTGCGTTATTTCATGAATAATATATGCACTTCAGATTCATGAAGTGTAATTCTTACAAGGAAGCTAATATGACTATTCTACCTAAAGCTACTACGTGTATTTCCATATTTACTTCCTGTTTCAGTATACGACACACTAATATCTTATTTGGATTTTTAGTGTTTGTCCTTGATAACGATAACGACACTTCAACTGAGAGAGAAATATAGATCAAAAACATAACCAATGGATTGATTAGTCTTTTTTCTCCTTTATCTGTTATAAGTACATACTTTCGCGAATCACTAAGCAAACAAAGATGAATTAGAATATTTAATACGAATTCGACTCGGTCAATATTGGTATTTTTCTTGTGAATATCAAACCATATTAACAACCTAAAAAGTTCATAATTTTATAATATTACATTAGTAAAAAAGTTTGAAATGGTTTTAAAGGAAAGGTTGAAAAAATAGAATTATTCAAGGAATATCATTAAGCGGAAGTACATGTGGAAAGATTCTTAAAAAAAAAATTCTGGAGACAAAAACTCCAGCGATTCACGAGTTTTGATAGGTGAAATATATACCACTGAGGTTTTAACTAATTGATATGTTTACATTTCAAGTTTTTTTTTAAAATTAATTCATTTATATATTTTTCTGTCAATGATACAAGCAAGTGTGGCTCAGAGTTTTATAAGAGAATTTCAAAGTCGAGGCACAGTCATAAATATCTAAAATTGTCACAGTGCATATAACTATACAGATGAAACTAGTATTTGTGGAGAAATATGATAGCGTTTATTAAAAATAATAAATAAGCCATTATAAAATGCAAATAGTAACAAGAGGCACATGGGCCTTGCAGTCTCCATAGTACTATATAAGTGGAACTTTAAGCGAAACGCAAATTTAGGGATTTGTCCTTAAAAATCAGTATTTAATTTAAGCGAGAAGTAATTTTAGCGATTTTATGGTGCATAGAAAGATTACGGTAATCTCTAATGCGGAATAAATTGTTAGCGAAATTTAACTTTAGCGATCTCAACACCCTCGCTAAAAATGCCAAAATTGAATCCTCGCTAAAATTTCTGCTTATACGGTATTATGATTTCTCAGGTTATGGTCACTTGGGGTTCAACTGGATCTGATCTTGTTTATATATAAAAAATTTTAAAATTTTAAAAATTGAGTATAATCATTCCCATATCCATGCAGCTTGTCTCTTACAAGTTCAGGAGTAAGTACGATAAGGTAGGCTGTGCAATAAATTTGAACATTTTAGCCTCACCCTAATGCCTGATCATTGGTACTAGGGAACTTGAATACTATAATAATTTGTAGTGGTCTAGCTTCTCATAATAATCATGCAAACAATTTACCTGCTACATGTTCACGAGTAATAATTTTCAAAGATGTAATTTACTTTCAATATATGACAAAATTAGCCTCACACTAGGACATGAACCCTGGACTGAGAGAGAGGGGCATAAATTTTACACATTAGGTAGAGGACTAAGTGTTATTTACAGTGTATAATCATAAAAACAGTTTGTCTTCGAGGACTCACGAGTATATAGATTTTCAAAGGTGTAATTTATATTCAATATATGAAGTAGTCCCATTTGTGACCAACTAAGCCCCACCCTAAGGCTTGAACCATTGGCCCTGGGGCCAGGGATCATGAATTTCATAATTTTGGTAAAAGGATGGCATTCTTTAAAATTATACCAACAATTTGCATGCTAGATGTCCATGAGTAAAGGATAAAATCTTATAAGATATAATAATATTTTCAGTGAGTCCCATCTTAAAGCATGAACACTAAAAACCACGGGTCATGAATTTCACAAATTTGATAGAGGGACAATTGCTTATTATAATCACGCCAACAATATGACTGCTTTATGTCCAGGATATTGAAGATATTGTTTTTGAACATGTACATTATATTATTTTTTATGGCTTTGGTCCCATCCCTCAGGCCCAAGGGATAAAGAGACCACCAAATTCACAATATAATTGTTCCTTTTACCCAAACATGATAGATATAATAAAATTGGTTGAAATTGGATCAGTTGTTATAAGAAGAGGCTGAAAACTCTAAAGTGTTAACAGAAGACTGACAACGGACGTCGCACGACAACTGACGAAAACAGATAGAAAGAGATCAGCTGAGTGACTCAGGTGACATAAAATGTTCAAATCACTTTTCAATTAAAAAGTATACAATATCAAAATGCAGTTCAATCCAATGCGTGTGCCACGTAAGTATTTGTTCATATATACTAGTACGAATTACATCTACTAAAATTAGACAGAAGAGTGCTTGAACCTGATAGATTATCAATATAAAACATTTTAAGTTAAGAAGAATAAAGCGTTTATCTCTCTCAGTTCAGCAAAGCGTCAGGCTCTCTCAGTTCAGCAATGCTTAGAAGCTTTTCATTTAACAGTATGTTAACATTAAGATGTAACATATGTCTTTTTATGTTCTTAATAAAGGTAAACTTTTTTAAAGTCTTATGCATCGTCGACCAATTACATGTTTACTTTTTTTCAAAAGATAAATGGATAACTAAGTAATCGAATTTAAGCTACTATTTTATTGTGGATGTTTATTCAAAAACTTCTAAGTTACAGATACTAATGGGCGAATATAGGTGCAAATCAATGTATACATGTATACAAACACGACATCGAAAGCGTATAGTATTGTAAGGTGTACACACTTTTCCCAGTTAACTACGTGATTATTGTAACGATTTAAATAGCTGTGATGATAATCTATGATTTGTTAATCACAGCAATTTACTTTATCACATGATTCTAAGCTCCTCACAAAAATACGAGTTAAATTACTGAACTAGGATTCAGTCACAGTTTTTGACTTACGATCTCTTCGAATTGGGACACTTCATTTTAGTTAAATCCAGATCGTCGACATGCTGAAAATATGTACAATCATAGAAAAGAAAAAATATAATAATAATTTATAAAGAGAGACAAGATTCATGCATTCAATGTCCCTTGACAAAAAGAAATAGCTTTTACTTTAAAGAAGTAAATGAATTCGCTTTAAATATTGTTTTGATACCATACTAAAATGAATTTTGGGTATTATGTGTAATTACAGGTATTATCGATTCAATATTTCCTTTTTGTCAAAGAGTATGAACTATAAGCCATGCTGATGCTGACATATGCATGCATAGATATATTTTAAGAATTTCAAGCGCATCAGTTAGAAATCAAACTTTATTCCAAATGAATTGTTTTCGCTAAAATGTTGACACTTGGTATAAAGTTTTAAATTTCAAATGAATGCTTGCTTGGCACTCTGCTCCTCTATTTAGACAAAGTAGTAAGTTTTCTCCTCCCTTAATTAATGAACGTGAAGGGTTGAAGTGTTTAACTTAATAAAAAGCAGAGGAAATTCCGAACTAATTGTCCAGTGATAGAGCAGTGTGCAAACAATACTGCAATGCAATGGGAATTTTCACACCCTTTTCTTGCAATTTTGGACGACAGTATTATTGAAAGGTCTCTATGCTGACATCTTATACTAGAATTAGAAGCTTAGTCGCCAAATAAAAAAAAAGCAAGAATTTAAAAGGGCGGGAAAAAATCACCGATTTGAGTCTTGTGTACAGAATACACTTACGTTCGTTTATTAAGCGGACATCTCATTTGTGACAAATCCACATCTTTCAAACTCTGTAATTAGCAAGCTTATACTTTCAATATTCATTTTTTAAAACTTATCAATGTGTTGTTTTATGGCGTAATCTGTCCTAATTCCAATATAAATTAATGCTGCATGTGCAGCCTTAATTCATAATAATAACGTTGTTTTCCCACAAACATTTCTACTTTATTCTCTTTTATTTGTTTCTTCTCTTCTTCATTCTCTTTCATTCATTTTCTTCTTTGATTCTACACACAAATGCTCATGAAGTTCATTTTAAAAAGATGCCAGCGTTCCTCAACGACAATATATATGTAGTCTTTGGAGACCATTTCTTCCAACAATCTGTTGGGATTCCGGTGGGCACTAATTGGACTCATTAATTAGCTTGTTTTTTTTAATATTCTTATGAAGCAGAATATAAAAACTTCTACATAAGAAAATTATTGCCGTGGCTTTCATCAATCCAAGTATACGTTTTATCAATAAACAAAAGTTATTTTCATTCATACATCCAAGTATACTGGATATATCCCAGTAAACTCGAAATAAGACCACAGAAACTGCCACATCTGCTACATACTTGGATCTTTTCCCCACTATAGACGTTAATGGCCAACTAGCAACAAAACTGTATAACAAACGGGATGATTTAAGCTTTTCCATCGTCAACTTTCCCCATTTATGTAGTAATACACTCCAAACTGATTCGGTACACAAAACCATGTGAGAGTACGATCAATTTTTAATCCAAGGCAGGCTACTGACAAATAAGTTGATGTTAGAGGAAATTCAAATACTTCATTTAAAATCAGCATTTTGCACTTTCTATGGTCGACATAATGACCTTGTTTGCAAATATAACCTATCATTGAGTGCCCTGTTTCCTATCAATTTTTAGATCATTTTTTTTTATACTAATTTGAATATGGTTTACTACTTTTTTACCTCAGGGATCGACATTAACGGTTGTCCGATTGCCCGGGACAAGTAAATTCTCAGTTCGGGCAAGTGAGTCTTACGACGTACCTGTCCGATCGGGCAAGCGATTTTTTCTCAAAGAAATGTACATATTTATTTAGTTTACATTAATTTATATAAAAGAAAACAATAAATTGAAGATTTGATTTCCGCCAGGTAACTGACTGATTGATATTGTTTTTGAATTCGGAATTCCTTGTCGCAATTTCTGGATTATACCTTTCATTTGAAAGTCGGGTTCGTTATTCCGTTTTTTTTCTCCTGGAAAATGTGCTATTCGTCTAACATCTAAAATGTTAACTTATTTGGAAATTAGATAATTTATTCACTTACAGAATATAAGTAAAGTGTAACACGATGTATCCTGATCAAAGTAAAGAACGATGTATGTTACGTAGCAACTATCTTCCTTCAGCGTTGTTTCACAGTTATCTCAGAAAATCACGATTCAAAAAAGAATCCTACCGAAAATAATTTTTAAAAATATGAATTTTATTAATACGGAGGGTTATTGCTATATGGCAGTGTGTGTTAACATTAAATTTACAAGGACAGTGGTATACATTTATGTACAAACGCAGCATCGAAATTTTTTCAGGTACCTCACCTTGTCAAATTGACAATAGTGTATTTGGTTACATTTTTTCTTGTCATAACATTTACAGTAATAAAAAAAAATCTTCTGAAGTTCTGTCCATATTTGGGCAACAAAGTTTTGCATTCGGACAAGTCAGATTTTGAGATCACTTGCCCGAAGGGCAAGTAAATCTGAAAGTTAATGTCTATCCCTGTACCTGATTGATACATTACAGAGACCTCTTGGCAGGTGTGACCAGTCGACAGAGAATGCTTTCTCCTCCTTGGCACCTGATTCCACCTCTGGTGTTCAGTTTCTGTGATTTTCCCCATGATTCCTATTCCTTACTGGATTTATGAGATTCAAATCACTGTTCATTATCTTCACCTTTTACATTATTGAGTTATTACAATTCTGATTTAAATATTTTCAATCAAACCTTTGGGGAAAAACTGATTGTTCTATACCATATAATTCTTAAGTCTTGGATATTATTCACTTGTTAATAGAGCTCAATTTCATATCATTAGTATATATAAAATCTCTAGAGTTATCACAGGATATCTAAAAATTCATTGACATCAAATCTCTGCGTTTGTCAAAAGAATTCATGAATGCAGAATGTAGTAACCCCTTTAATGACAATGAATAAACTGTATGTAATACCATAAGAATTTTCTGATACTTTTAACTCACACAGTAAATGATTATTTTTTCAACACTAAAACAAAGTAGCAAAAAGCTTGATAGGGCTTAACATTGTGTATATTAAAGTCAGTCATTTCCTTATCAGAGATTCAGGAGTTTTGACTTCATGATGAGTATGAGGCTTCTGATATCCCAAACTTCCCTACTCTTTCCAATTTCTCCCAAACTTCCATTTCTTTATATTAATTCTCAGTATTAGTGAAAAAAAAAATCAGAGATATAAAATACAATCAACAACCAATCTCTACCTATTATTAGACCTACTTATAAAAGCTTCCTTTATCCTTTACTTTTAACAGACTCTCTACAATTGGTTCAAGTGCCTAAATTGCATAATTTACACTTTTTTAAACATTGTTTACAAAAATAATTTCAGAGATATTTTTTCTAAGAAAGAGAACATTTGAAAAAAATGATACCAAAATCATCCCTTCTGATAATCATTTGTTACATATTATCTACACCTACTTCTATAACAAGGTAGCAAAGAATTCATTCAGTATATCTTTACAATTTTGTGATGTTTACAAAATGATTAGGGTTGCCATTGTCAGATATGTAAATTGGAACTATGAGTTTGATAACTTGAGTTTTATGAGTAAACGTAACATACTGAAATTGAAAAGGATTTAATTCCTTCACTTTACTTGAATTGTATTTTTGAAATAGAAAATTCAACCTAACAGGAAAAATTTACTTAATAAAAATCAGTTCTTTTATCTTAAAAATGTATAAACAGGTAGGGAAATATATGCATGGACAGGTACATATTGTGGTTATTTTAAAATATTTGCAGTTATTCGTACTGCTTCCCTGATAAAGCTGCGAGTGAGTAGTAGGTAAATCCTCCAATAGATGGACAACATGTTATTTTTTTGCCTTTCCTAAGTCAGTCAACTACTAGTATAATCTACTGACTATGACGTAGGTGGCATATTGAGAGTGCATACAAATTACCATATGCTCCAATAGATATGTCTCCCTCCTCAAAGATCCCCAAAACAAGACAGTTATTTCTAGGTTACATGTATTATGAAATCACTGGAAATTAAATGTGGGTCAGTAACAGCATGCAAGGTATGCATCTCACAAAGTACATGTATCCATAGATGCACTATTTCTACTTGTTTAGATTGGATAAACCCTTCATATACACTAGGGAAAAATGCTGAGCTTAATCCTGAGATTAATTGGAGAGTCATGTAGAACACAAAAATTTAATGTTGGTCAGATGTAGCATCAGGTTTGTCTCATTTTAAGCATCCACAGATACACCACAGACACAAGATTTGTTTGGATATGCTTCTTGAGATAAGTTGGAAAGTAAAGCCAAATGCTGAGCTTTTAAGCTATCCAGACAGTGTATTTGTGTGTGTGTGTGTGTGTGTGTGTGTGTGGGTGGGGGGTAATGGGGGAAGGGTTATTCGGCAACTTATCTCTTTATTTCAGTTTAAACAAGTGGCAAAGTCTATCACAGCTACATGTAACACTACTAAAGTTTTGTTTTTATATATAGTGGAAGTACAACCTACTTTATAAATAACCTATATAATGACTGCTTATGATAACTATATGTGTATTATAGTTCTCATTATTGTATATTTAGTAACTTAACTTCCCTTTACAGCTATTCATGATGGTGAATCTATTTTTCAAAGATTTGATAGTCTAGTTATATTAATACATGAGTTAAAACATAAGATATTTCCTGATTGATTCTCATAAAACATTAAACACTTTTAAGTGTTCTAAAAAAAATAAAGTTGAGAGTCTTATTCATTCTTAAGTATAATTATATTGTAAAGATTCAGATTAGTGGTTCTGTAAATAAGATGCTTAATATATACATTCTGTATAAAGAAATTACTTAAGCTATTTTACTTATATTTGATCATTAGGGCTGGGTATCGGCTAGGAATTTTGTATTGCGATATATACATGTATTGCGATATTTTTAACTGTATTGCAATTTGTATTGCAATATTTTCAATGACAGTTAATATGCTCTTTTTCTTATTTTATTAATCTTCATCTATAAGAAGAGTGTGTAAAACTATTATAAGTAAATTGTGACAAAAAAGTTCTTGTTGATTTCACTATAGTTTTGGGAAAAAAATTCAACCATACATCAGCAATCTTACTGTTTGGTGCTCTTTGGCACAACTGAAAACGTTTCTAACCTATTAAATTTTAAATTTTACTTAAGAAATTTAAAGCCCAAGCAGTTTGCCAGTATATTGGTACTGGAAAAACATATCACAATACAACATTTTTTGTTAATGAATCGCAATATACCAAAATGTCGATATTATTGCGCAGCCCTATTGTAGTATTGATCATGTTTCAAGACAGGCTTAAAATGTATAATTTGATCAATGTCTTCCGGAAACATATTTAAAATTCCTTAATATTCAAGATCACAACTTTCATCTACATGAAATATATGGAGATAACGAACAGTATTTAAGCTCAAAAGTCCATTAAACAATAGAAATTTTGGAGCAGAGCAAACACGGACCTCTAAAACATCAGAGGTGGGATCAGGTGCCATGGAGGAGTGAGCATCCCCTGAACAGAAGACCGGTCACAACCGCATTGTGCTCTTCGTCATGATAGGAAAATAACAGAAAAATCAATTCAGTATGTAAATAATGGCCTAACAATTAGTATGAAAAATGTCAGTCAGCATTCGACTTAATGATAAATTGTATTTGCTGACAAGGTCATTGTACCGACCATAAAACTTACAAAATGACAACTTTAAACCAGACTGCTGATATTCTTGTTTCATCAACTTGTTTGTCAATAACTTACCTTGTTTTAGAAATTGTTCATACATAGAGCATGCTCTTGCGTATCGAATCAACTGAGAGATATAAACCCCATATGCAGGTGATGAAGGTATATTGCTGCATAAGTAAGGGAAGTCGACGATTGGAAAGTTAAAGTCATCACGTTTCTTATTAAGCTTGGTTTTAGATTACCATTTACATCTACTTCCACATATACATAATATTTGGAAGAAATGAGCACATTTTAGTCTCACTTACTGGATTTTTATTTTATGTGAAAGGATTCTTGTCATTCTTTAGTGGGATAGATTATGTATAAGATTGTGTAACTTCCTTCTAACAGATAACATTCCTGTCTTCCTCAACAGTATGGAATTTAAGTACAAGTAACAGTAAATTCCACTTGGCAAATTTTACTTCTGAATACTTCATCTTTTCAAAATTGAAAAACAACATACATTTTTTTGTCATCATGCCCCAGTTTAAATTACATAAGTTTGCAGAAGTTGTGGCCTATTTTCATTGTCATGGCAGATATTTGTTATTTCTGTATTAATTGTAACATAAACATGTATTTATAAGAACATATATATATATATATAAAGAGCCAAATTATCATATGGTCTCATTTATCCTCTGCTCTGAACATGCTGAATGTCAAAATCCAAATGCATTTGAAATTTTCTCAGAATTTTTAATAAATTCTAAACTTCTTTGCTTTTAAAAACAGAGCAAAAGCTAGTCTATGACTCTTTATTTTTCTCAAAATAATGGTTTTTCTAAAGATACACCATACATAATACCTGTACTAGCCTAACTGGAAGGTGAGCTAGCATTTTGCTTGCAGTTACTTGTGATTTTTAATGAAAAAAAAAACCCTATTAATAGAAAAAAATCATTACAGTATAAAATATTAATTAGTCCTTCATCATTAGTGAGACACAATATAGTGTGTGAGACGTAGTGACATTTCCTTATCTTTAGTCAGTCATGACTTCATAAGGGTTACCTCACACTGCTTCCTTTACGATGGTATATAGCTCATGGCAAACTGCTAAATATTGTAGCTTGTAAACTTGATGATGGTGCAATGAATTTTCTGAACATGTTTAAATGTGCTCTTCACTTCTATCAGGTTTACAATTACAGTTTAATATAGTTTAAACTAATTAAACTAATCTTTTTGATTTGATTCAGGTTTGAAGTAGGATTTTTGTATTCTTGGTTAATATTCTTGGCTTCCCATGACAAATGCAATTCATTTGAGAAGTACCATAGACATTGAACAAATAATCTTTTTTCTCCCATTATCAACTGTGATTCATCAATCCCATACAGTTGCTCTTTTTTTGTGTGTTTCTTATGAAACTGATTAGTTGCTTACACCTAGGATGATTCTGACTGGCTGCATAAATTCAAAATGACCCTAAAATCTACATGTCATGGGAAAAACAGGTCCCATAGCCAGTGTTCATAAGTAACCAGTTTTCTCAAACTCTCCTACATTTCCAGCCTTGCAAGTCTTGAAAATTAAAATGTTAAAGAACTCAAGTTTGACAAAAACTGGTTAATAATTCACACTGGCTATTACATCTATATGAAAATCCCACCCTTACAGAACACATTTCCTCTACATATCAGCAAGCCTTGTCTAAGACAGCAAAAGTGATTCTCACTGGTTAGATTTATACTTCCTGTACTCTCAAGTTGGATTTATCTATCCTGCACTCTCAGGTTAGAATTACAGATTTACTGTAAACCAACTTTAAAATTTATTCATGTGTGTGAAATATCCATGAGTTTCACAACCTACTTTAACTCGTGAATATTAATTGCTGAGAACCAATTATTTTCAAACTGACAATTCACGAATAAAAGATGACGCGAATAATAGTTGGTTTATAGTATCTATCCTGCACTCTCAAGTTAGATTTATCTATTCTGCACTCTCAGGTTAGATTTATCTATCCTGAACTCTCTTGTTAGATTTATCTGCCCAGTACTCTCAGGTTAGATTTATCTATCCTGAACTCTCAGGTTAGATTTATCAATCCTGAACTCTCTTGTTAGATTTATCTGTCCAGTACTCTCAGGTTAGATTTATCTATCCTGTACTCTCAGGTTAGATTTATCTATCCTGTAAACTCTCAGGTTAGATTTATCTATCCTGCACTCTCAGGTTGGATTTATCTATCCTGTACTCTCAGGTTAGATTTATCTATCATGCACTCGCAGGTTAGATTTATATACATGTATATATCCTGTACTCTCAGGTTAGATTTTTCTATCCTGTACTCTCAGGTTAGATTGATTTATCCTGTACTCTCAGGTTAGATTTACCTCTAACCTGATCTCTAATTTATTTATTTCAGAGCAATAAAAAAAAATTACTATACTGTATGTTTAAATTGTCAGTGTCTAGAATTATCATAATCTCTATAATTTGAAAAAAAAAAAAAAAAAAAAAAAAAATTAATTGCAATTTAGACAAATTGAATGTTTACCACATCACAATTCTAAATTAGAACTTACTGCAAATCTTCCACCATCAATGCCATGTTCTCGAAACTGGGAGACAAAATTCCCGAACTTATTCTGAAACAAGATAAAAAAAAAAAGAAAATGTTAAAAATTGATTTCATATGTCACCAAATAATGATTAACTCTGAAATAATAATACGAGAAATTGAGCATCCTAAAATACTGTTAAGCTTAAATAAATTTCTGTTGAACTCATAGCTATACCTTAAATGATTTAACATTGGTTTACCGTTAACAGTACTCTCAATTTAAAAAAAAAATCTTAGCTCACCAGAGCAAAAGGATCAAGTGAGCTTTCCTGATCATGGGAATACATTATATAGGGAAAAAGTTTAAAATCTTATCAAGAACAGTTTGTTCAAATAATGGTCCCTGGAGTAGGATGGAGCCACAATAGGTGATATACTGTAAATACATAGGGAAAATATTTATTTCTTCTTTCTTGATAACAGAAGTCATGATTAGGGATATGCAAATATTCACAGGTAGTACAGATTTAAGTCTGTTGAATGCCTGGGGTTAATGTAGGGCAACAATAACTTTTAATCAAAATATCAGAACAACTTTTCAATTGTAAGAAAATGTTGAAAATAAAAGTGTTTGATACTTGTCAACATCTCAGGCATATTTAATCATGCCAAAGAACAGTATCAGATGTCAAAAAGATGATACTAACTTCAAATTATTCACACACAGTGGGTGGAAAAATTTCAACCACTGCGGATCATCAAATTTCCATGACACCTTATTTTCACACAATTGTCATTTACTCTTTCATAAGCAAGACAAAATTTTCCAAATTTTGGCTATTGCTCTATATAATCTTTGATACTAATTTACGCGAGAATGAACTTTTCGCAAGAAGACTATATCATGTAATTACGCAAAATTAAAGTTCTTGCAAATAAAAAGTGATTTACAGTATATACATGTATTATAGATTGGTCACAAGATCAAATTCCATAAAGCCCAAAGGGCTTTATGGTAAATTTGATCTCGTACCAACCCATATTTATATCCCGATAGATGTTTAAAAATGATACATTATTACTTATATTTACATTTATGACTTATTAATATTTTATATTTTCCTGATTATAATCTTTAACGCGTGAAATGTTTTATTCATATATATTACATATTTGATCCATTGATTGCACGTCGACCCTTTATGATGTCACTGAGAAATTACGTCGAACATTCATGATGCGAGGAACGCGTATTTATACGGATATAGATATGCGTTGCTTTTAATAGTGTTATATAAAAGAAAACATTTGCAAATGTAAATATACGGATATAGATACGCATTGCTTTCAATAGTGTTATATAAAAGAAAACATTTGCAAATGTAAATTATAATATATATATATCCCCTGGCTTGGCTTTCTTTTTGTTGTTCTATTACATTTCAGGAATTAAAAACGTCTACTCTTTATACTTTTGAAGTGTATATGGTTTACTCATAGTACTTTTGAGTACATTAACCTCTTTCTTGGTGTACAGTATATATCAACTTATAATTAATCATGCAGTAGACTTGACAACACATCTCAGTCAATCATTCATCTGTATTCATCTCTTTGAAATTATGGTCTATCGGTGAATGAAAAGTACTGAAGAAGGAAAATTTGGGGTAGACTTTACTTTACCGGTCCCCAGATCCGCAAGATCCGTGCGCTCATTGCATTATGACGTAAGATTACGTCACTCAACTGATAAGGGTTAGTCTTGCACATTTTTGACTGGTTAGGTACGTTAGTCTTGCACCCACCTGAGAGATTAGGGTTAGTCCTTGCACAAGTTTTCAACTGATTAGGGTTAGTCTCGCATCCATCCGAGAGATTAGGGTTAGTCCTCGCACATGGGTTAGTCTAGCATCCGCCCGGGAGATTTGGGTTAGTCCTCGCTTACCATCCGAGGGATTAGGGTTAGTGTCTTGTTTTTTTTTTAATTCAGCTTTAACGACATCTCTTTGGTTTGTTTACATGAAAAAATGGCTAAGTACGAAAGAAACGGCACTAAGCATGCGCCGCACGCGCTCTGTTGACAATTATTTTTTGTCTCCTTTTCACTGAATAAACAATATTAATCACTTTTTTCAGAAAACGAGGTTAAAAACTTCGTTTAAAAACGAAGTTTTAAACTAAACTTTTATCTGTAGAATTCGATTTTGGGGTCAAAAAGGCTGAAAACCTCATACTTTTAATTTTTTTCGATCGCTCACGCGATCTCATATATACTGAAGTCGCCTACGGCGACACTATATTTTAGCGCGTTTTTCTGGGGACCGGTAAAGTAAAGTCGTTCCAAAATTTGCTTGCTTTGGTTAGCTTAAACACATAAAAGGTTTAGCCTATTCCTGAACCACAGTGCTTTTGCAACTGAAACTTGCAGACGAATCTTCATGGTATAACGACTTCTTACCTCCATAAGCCATGTACAAACATCGTTGACAGTCCATCTCGCAAGTTGGCTATAATCAGGTAGCGGAGTTTTAGACATTATTTCAGATCTGCGTCTGTAGGACAAGAAGAAAGTTTGTTGATTAAGAACTTCCTTGTTGATTCTTTTCTTGGATGGGATTACCCGGATATCCTCAGTTATATTCCGTGCTATTGCACTGACGATGGAAAATTTACAAGGTATTCCGAACAGAAGAACATTCATTTTAGCGATTTGTGATTTTTATAGAAAAGCGAAAGAAAATAAATTTGCTTCTGCAAGAAAACTATGTAGTCAAAAAATTGAATTTTCTTTGTTTTCTTTTTAAAGGGCATTTTTGACGAAAAAATTGTATGATTATGAATGTAACAAAATAAATATTACATTCGCTTTTCAAAATCGTTTCATTTTATCTTCTACGATTCATATCCGGTTTTCATTTCACGTGTGGAGGAAATTCAGAAACGAAGACGAACCGAAAAATATGCAGCACGATGATGTGAGTATCCTTACGACGGTTAGTTATTGTATATTCTGATTATTTTCTGTTGAAAACAGATTACATTAACAGTTAATTTCATTGATCACATACATTTAATTTTGAAGAAAACTTGAAGGAAAGATATTAACATGCATTGTTTATTTCTCTTTCTAGTTCGAATTTTCTCAAAATTAATTTTGCTTTTGCTGTTACACACACACTGTCACACAGTTTTACTTATGTCTTTAGAATTTGCATTTTGTGGATTGCAGGTCATATGGAGTATTATTAATAGTACATTCTGTTCGTTTAAAGTGAGGTTAGTATAATTTCTTTCACTAGAATCAGAGACATATAAAACCATGGTTTTATATGTCTCTGGTAGAATTAATCTCATAAAATTCAATATTGAAATTCAGTATTCAAACCTGTACGTTTTTAATGATCAATTTCAATTCAGATTCTAAATCATTTTAAGTGACAAAAGTTCTAAATACAAAAAACCTATTCACTGTCTTAGAAACTTTTATTTATGTAATTTTTTCTCTAGTTTGCATGTAATTTGATTGTTTTAAATACTTAGTACAGGTGTTGTTTTCTATTCATATAAGTATACAGGGATAGACATTAACTTTCAGATTTACTTGCCCTTCGGGCAAGTGATCTCAAAATCTGACTTGTCCGAATGCAAAACTTTGTTGCCCAAATATGGACAGAACTTCAGAAGATTTTTTTTTATTACTGTAAATGTTATGACAAGAAAAAATGTAACCAAATACACTATTGTCAATTTGACAAGGTGAGGTACCTGAAAAAATTTCGATGCTGCGTTTGTACATAAATGTATACCACTGTCCTTGTAAATTTAATGTTAACACACACTGCCATATAGCAATAACCCTCCGTATTAATAAAATTCATATTTTTAAAAATTATTTTCGATAGGATTCTTTTTTGAATCGTGATTTTCTGAGATAACTGTGAAACAACGCTGAAGGAAGATAGTTGCTACGTAACATACATCATTCTTTACTTTGATCAGGATACATCGTGTTACACTTTACTTATATTCTGTAAGTGAATAAATTATCTAATTTCCAAATAAGTTAACATTTTAGATGTTAGACGAATAGCACATTTTCCAGGAGAAAAAAAACGGAATAACGAACCTGACTTTCAAATGAAAGGTATAATCCAGAAATTGCGACAAGGAATTCCGAATTCAAAAACAATATCAATCAGTCAGTTACCTGGCGGAAATCAAATCTTCAATTTATTGTTTTCTTTTATATAAATTAATGTAAACTAAATAAATATGTACATTTCTTTGAGAAAAAATCGCTTGCCCGATCGGACAGGTACGTCGTAAGACTCACTTGCCCGAACTGAGAATTTACTTGTCCCGGGCAATCGGACAACCGTTAATGTCGATCCCTGGTATAACAATCTATGACTGTACATGTAACAGAGTTATTGAAAACTTTCACCACAAAGCAGGATAAAAGTTACTTCTTGGAGGAAATTTTTGCAGAACCCATACATTTCCTGCAGGCCCCACAAAAATAGACTGTGTAATTGATGAACTACATTACATAAATTGTTTGATGATGTTTTCACTTTTTGTTTTATTTTCATTATTCCCTAAGCCATTGCTCCTGAAAGGAGTGCTTGGATCTCTTTTGCTTCTCAGAAGCACGTCTCTTCCCCCTGCTTGTTGACACTAATTGTCACTTTTCCTTTTATCAGGAGTGAGCCATTTATTAGGCTTGATCCTTTTTTAACAAAACATGCAAAACTGGAATCTGTTATGAGAAACTAAAATAGAATACGTTATGACAAAATTGCAATTCCCAGAATATTTTGAAGACATTGATAATTCTTTAAGCCCCTGTAATCAAAGATTTAGTGGCATATAGTTTTTGATCTGTGTTAATCTATCTACTTGTGTGCAAAACTTTGACCTTGGCGGTAACTTTTGATTAGTTGGAGTTAGAACTTTCATAACTCACATGTGTATTCCTTGTGAAAAGACCTTTCTTACCAACATATTTGACCTCTTGGCCATGGAGTTTGACACTTTGCAGAGTTTTACCAAACTTTAACATTTGCCATAACTTTTGAACAGTTGGTGCTAGGGCTCTCATACTTCCACATACTATATACAGGGAAATTCTTGCCCCCATTTTATTTTCACCCTACTTACAGGTGAGTGAATTAAAAAAACACAGTATATTTTCTTAAACAGATTTTGTTATTGGGAGAATTTAAAATGGGGCAAAAATATTTGCAAGTGTGAAAGGGCGAAAATAACATGGGGCGAAAATATCACTGTATACAGTATATATTCCTTCTGATAAGACCTTCCCCTGGGAACAAATATTATTGGCCTTGAAGTTTGACCTACATGCATGTACAGGACCTTCCCTTGGTACCAACAATTTCGACCTTTTGACCTCGGAGTTTGACCTACTTTTGAAAAACTTTTACCTTGGCTATAACTTTTGAATGGTTCCTTTCATATTTCACATGTGTATTCCCTGTGACAAGATCTTTCCTTTGGTACCAACAATTTTGACCTTGACTTTGGAATTTGACTTTCTTTTGAAAAAACTTTAACCTTGGTCATAACTTTTGAACACTTGGTGCTTGGGCTTTTATATTTCACAGGTGTTTACATTATGACAAGTACCACATTTTTTTTTACCTCAATATCTCTGCCTTGGAGTTTGACCTTTAAAAAAAACTTTAACTTTGACCATACTTTCTGAATTGTTATTGCAAGGCCTTTCATACTTAACATGTGTGCTTTCCAACATGAACTGATTCTTTTAAGTTTTTATTGATTAATTTTAGAACCAAATCCCAGAAATTCTGTAGGAATGAGTACAACTTAACAGGATTGTGTAACAGAGCATCGTGTCCACTTGCCAACAGTCAATATGCCACTGTCAGAGAAGAAAAGGGTAAGTTATTTTATATGTATTGGGACAGTCTTCACTGAATTCTGATAAACTTTAGGGAAGGGTATCAGCAAAAATTTCGTATCGTGATATATCAAGATTTTTTCCCAAAAATATCACGATAAATCGTGATATTTTTACACGCATTTTTTACTACAATTTCAAATGAATTTCCTTAATATTTCTTAAAAATATGCTATAAAGACATAACTTTACTTTTTAAATTTTCATTTATTTAATATAAAGCATGTTTTGATGCCGTTGTTTAACTGTTTTCAACATTTTTTACACTTCCTCTTATTGTCATTCAATAGTTTGAACAAATAAATGAATAATTTCCGGAATTTATAGTTATGTACCAAATACCGGTATTTTAGTCTCCGCATCATGATACATATCACGCAATAAAAAATCACGATATACCGGTATACCAATAAAATGGCGGATCCCTAATAAACTTGATGCAGAAGTTAAGGAACTTAGACTCAGTACTCCATGTGAAAGTGATTAAGTAAAAGAGAATATTTATTTCTGCTACATAAGATGAGGAAACATACACATTTTCAAATGGTTGGAATGATAAAATGCAGGCCAGGTTTACCCATGAGGTTGCTTTCTTAGTCACATATGACAGAATGTATATATATATGCTGCATGTATATATAATTCTTCAATATGCACATAAAGTTGAAGTGAACTATTTATAGGAAAGATTTGGATTGGTAAGTTTAAATAAAAAGCCATTACAATTCATATTTTATTTTAGGTGTGTGTTACCTTTATATGAAGACAGTTGAACGAGCTGCATTCCCCAACAGAATGTGGGAAAAAGTGAAGTTGTCTAGAAATTATGAGAAAGCTTTGAAACAGATCGATGAACAGCTCATTTACTGGCCCAAGTAAGGCTTAATGTCAGGGAATTTTCTTATAATAACTTGCCAAAGTAAGGCTAAATGACTGTGAATATCCTTGTTGGCGAAAGTAAGGCTGAATGATGGGGAATTTTCTTGTAAGAATTGATAAAAGTAAGGCTTAATGTCAGAGAATTTTCTTATGATAATTTGCCAAGGTAAAGCTGAATGACTGTGAATTTTCTTATAAGAGTTGGCAAAAGTAAGGCTGAATGACAGGGGGGTTTCTTGTAAGAATTGAAAGATGTAATTGTTTTGTTTCTTCATTTATGCTCAAAATCATTATTTCTTTTAATCAAGATTCATCAAGCACAAATGCAAACAGAGGTTCACCAAAATAACACAATATCTGATCCGAATCAGGAGGCTGGTACTGAAAAGAAGGTAACTATAAGTTATTATGGGGCATTGAAGAATTGAATACAAAAAAAAATGTACATGTAGTTCATGGATAACATGTAAGATGTAAGAATTCTAAGGTACTGTATGACACACTGCAGTATGTAAAAGTAGTCTGAGTCTGTGGTCTTCATGCTTAGTGATATAAAACAAATGTACATGCAGTTTTACTTTCTAGTTTGAAAAAAAAAATCAGAAACATCATGAACATGAGTACAAACCTGTATGCATTTCTTTTATCCAATTTTTTTTTTCCTATTTAGAAAAAAGTTGGTTCCTTTAAGCAGAAAAATTGAAAAACGAGAAAGACGAAAAGAGGTATTTCTCTGTCCTCTGTGATTTATATTTTATAGCTATTATCATGAGAGGGAAAGATTTGTTTTAAAGAGGGAGAGATGCTTTCTTCTCTCAAAAATAAGTGATCTGAGAGATAAACTTGTAAATGAGTGAATCTTAAATTTTTTGTTTATCTCCCTTTTTTTTTTTTTTTTTTTTTTATAGAATGATCATGCTTTTATTTTTCCTCCAGGAAAAAGCCCTGATAGCAGCTAAAATAGACACAGCCATAGAGAAAGAGTTACTGGAGAGACTCAAGTCAGGAACAGTAAGTCTGTAGTTCCCTGGTTGTGTTCATACTTACAGAATTATCTTCCTTTATGTCAATATGTTAATTATTGTTCCATCACTTCTGTTTGTTGATTTTGATGTTCTTTCAAGTAGGATTCTTTTTCAAAAAAAAAATTTGTCTGTATTATATGATATTTGATCAAAAGCTTCAGGGAGTAAAATACATGGAAACTGTAAATGCATGACACAATGTAATGATCCAAATAGAAAATGTAATATTATTGAATGAGCTTCCTAGAACCAGTATTAAAATTGAAGAAGATCTGCATTCATGTCTTAATTTTTTTTTGGACAATTTATCATTTAAAAATAGTTGTATAGATACCCTGAAAAGTTTATTTGGATGAGAATTGATGTTTTATTCTTTAACAGTATGGAGAGATCTATAACTTTCCATCCCATGCTTTTGACAAAGTGATGGATGAGGAAGTAGAAGAAGAATCCGAGTCAGAGAAGGAAGGAGAAGAGGAGGAGGAGGAAGAAGAAAATGATGAGGTCTGTCTTCACTTCCTGATCTAATTTTCTGGCTTTTATTTTTTCACTTGAGCTTAAAGCTCGAGTGAGCTTTTCTGATCACATTTTGTCTGGCATCCTTCTGTCTGTCCGTATTTTTAACATTCTCAATTCTCCTCAAGAATCACTGAGCCAATTTCAACCAAACTTGCTGCAAAGCATCTTTTAATAAAGGGGATTTAAGTTTATTAAATGAAGAACCACACCCTTTTTAAGGGGAGATAATAAAAAAACTAGTAAACCAGGTCATTGGTTTTATACTGTTGAAATTATCCTTTGATTTGATCCGGGAATTTTCACTCAATTTACTTTCTGTGCAAGAAGTACAGCTGAACTTCGGTATCTCAAACACTGATATATCGAATACCATGGATATATAGAAGTGATTTGGAAGACCCAAGCACTTTTTTAAAAGTACATGTATTTTACTCTCAATATCTGGAACCCTTCGGTATCTCTCAGTTTTTTCTCTGTCCCATTGAGTTTGAGATATAGAGGTTTGACTGTATTTTAATCAGTTTTCATAAATATAAAATGTAATTTTATGGTATATATAGAGGAGCTGGACTGACAGTGATGAAGTAAAATGAAATTTTATTTAATTTAATGGAAATGATTTTAAGTGTATAAATGTTAGCACATAAATATGTTTTCAAAAATGAGGGTTTTAAGTATTATTTTGTCTTATTTCCTGTGCTTTACTAAATACTTTAGAATCAGTATGTGTATAGTGTTGTGATGAAGTGAAATAGTGTGATAAGCAGACAGTGATAATGTTAATTATGTTTATCAGGAGGAAGCAGAAGTAGAATATGTAGCTGAAGAAGACTTTGAGGAAAGTGACCTATCAGATTTAGAGGTAGGTAGTATTACTAGTATGGCGGAAAACAAATTCCTCATCGTCCAAGTGGAATAAACATGTCACTTTCAAGTGAGAAAGTGGGCCTATTTTTGACATGAAAATTGATTAGAAAGTGACATTTATTTGGATATTGCAGCTTTAATGATTTGTGTATTTTTTAATTAAGAACAAAAGGTAACATCATTACAAGATAACTATGTTACTTCAAATACAGCACTTGTCTTCCATTCCCCATAGCTTCTACACAACAAATATTGCATCAATGAATGGTGATGCATAAATCTAAATTTTCTAATAAGATTGATTTATTAAATAAGTTATTACATGTAAGTATATCTGAAAAAATATTTTACTAGTAAATTTACTACTAATTAATATATATGCCTTTGAACTGAGTAAAAACTGCTTATAGATAAAAATTTCACACTAGAAGTGTTAAATATGGATGGCAGACATACTTTTTATTTTGATTGAAGTCAAACATTATTGGTACAAAATGTAATTCTTGAAGAGCTTGTGTACTCTCAACAACAAAAAGTACACTTATAGTTGCTTGTAATGTTTGTTTTAGGACATGGATAGACTTCATGGTGAAGACAGTGATGAAGAAAGTGAAAGTAGTCCAGAAAGTAGCTCAGATGAGGACGTTGTTAAAAAAGGAAAAGGAAAGAAACTGAAGCCAAAGAGGAAGAGACCGAGAGTGGAAATAGAATACGAACAGGAAGTCGATCAACCTTCAGCCTCAAAAATCAAAACAAAAACCTGATACAGGGAAGGTGAATACAAGGATTTTTTTAAAATTCAAAAGGTCATAAATTCGTAAATTATTTACATGCTTTGATTTCCAGTGAAGTGAATGGAATACATGTAGTTGAAAGTGACAATATCTAAATGCCATTTTTTTTCATAGTAGACCACTTCAGTGTTATTTTTCTTCAATATTTAGCAGATGTCATGAATCTGTTTAAGACAATGAGGGAAAAAGGAACATCAGAATGTATAACCATATCATATTTGAAGAATACTGTGGTACCTTGTAGAAAACTTGTACAGTGAAATAGGAAAGCTAAAGCATATTTCTAACATACTATTCGGCAGTTTCCTTATGTTTACTACTTTTATGACTTAAAGAAAAAACAAACAGAAGATCAGATGTCCATTCATTGTTTTGTTTTAAATGTAAATAAAACTATAAAATATTATAATAGAGTTTTTGAATCATTTGAAGTAGAAAAATTAAATATAAGAGTTTCAGAATGTAGCAGATTGTGTCCAGATTTTCCATGCTATAGGCTACAAAGAGAGTGATGCGTTTGAATGCAATGCATAACTTCTCTAAATTCAATGAATGCAATTTTTGTCAATGGAAAGTGCTTTCACTTTAAATTAATGGCATTATTTTCCTCCAGTATGGAACATTTGCTTCTGGCCCTGATACTGAGAGAACAAAACATGCTCTTTGTGTTGAATACCTCCAGATGAGCAGGGCCAAGACGTGCATTTATTATTTATGTGCTAAAAATCGAGAGTAGTTAATGAATTTAGTGTACCTAAACTCAATTGTATTTGCCTAGTATTCAATGAATGTCGTGTTAATTTGCTATTTAGGGAATGCCATATGCATCGGATAAGAGTGCGACCCTGTTATACTTTCGGCAAACTCAGAAAATTGGTGGTTCACTCCTCACTCCTAACTTAGCCAATTTGTACCGCATTGATATTAAATGACATCTGATTGGATCCTAAACAAAAAGAAGATGAGCTCTCGAATTTCCCCCCCACTGGGTTTCTGTGGAGAGGGGTTGGCGAGGGGGAACAGATATAAAATGCGGGGACGCTCATCGCATCTGTCGGCTCGCGGCCATTTCCTGTGTTGGATCAATTGTGTGATTGTGAAGCAGTGCGGGTGGCCGACCAAAATGACAGAGACAATTTCATAAAAAGAGAAATCAAAATATGTTTTTTATTGACAAAACTATTCCTAATTAGATTTTTTTCCCTTTGCACTTAACTTATATTTCCCCCCTCTCTCTCTGTGCATAGGCGCCGTAAAGGACTAACAAGTCTCGGAGAAAAATGAATAGTTTATTTACTAAAGATTTTGTGGTATGATAACCTAAGGGCATGGGATTATGGCGATGAAAAGAAAAATTAATTGCTCATATGCAGTGCCTATTGATATGTCATTTTAAATTGTTTGATACTGAAACGTTATACTTATTCTTTGTCGCCTTGAAAACAGCGATTGATCTGAGTTTTGCGAAATGTTAGATATTTCGCAGGGGTTTAACAAGGATTGTAATGTAAAACACAGTTAATTTCATAACTAAATTAATTTTCAAAAATGCTTCGTAATGTTAATCTGCAGCTAAAATGGTAATGCAACTCCTCTCTAATCCATTCTAACAGTATTTTCTTTTTAAAAAATATCCGAAGTAAGTGAATGATTTTCATTTTATGCTTAAAGGGTCATAGCCTCTGACTTCAAAATGTAAAAGGGTCACTTTTGATCCAAATATCAGTCATTGACAAAATGGGCACAATTTTTTACTCTTACATACTACACTACTGCAACAACAGAATGCATATATTACTTCTTTAAACTGTTAAAGCACTTGTTATCGCAGAAAAGTGGATATCTATATAAAGCCATTAGATTGAATTCATAAAAAATATTACGAATCAGAAAAAGCTCTCTCTCTCTCTCTCTCTGACATTGAATTGTGTTTTTATCAACCAAAAATAAAATAAGCAAAAATAATTTATTTGTTTGCTTGCACGTTTTAACCATTTTGAGCTTTTCTGATGACAGTGTGTAAGGGTTTAGCAATAAACCACTTCAGCGACCACAAATCGCGTCTCAACGGCGCAGAGCCAGTTCAAGTGTGCTCAGGTGGTACTCACATACTAAAAGGCGAACAAATAGAAGCACAACAATCTACTACACATAAATTTAATATAGTTTTTGACAAAAAAAAAATCACATTTTGAAAAGACTAAAACTGAATGTTTTGAATAAAAATTGATCGCATCAAACTCCTTAATTTGCGCTCTAAAAAATTGTTTTGACATAAATTTCTTATAATTAATTATGTGATCAGAGATCAACGGTTTATATGGCTGAAGTAATAAAATAACTCATTACATGGAAGGTACAACATATAGATTGCTTTTCTTTTTCAAATTAATAAACAATTCATCAATTTTCATGCCTTGTGGACGTCAACATTGCACACCTGTCAAACTTTTGTGACTGAACTCTCTTTTTTCCCCTCCCTCCTTTAACACCCCAAACAATAATCCTCACCTAATCTCCTTGACCTGTCACATGCAGGGGGCTTAATCTTTAATACCCGACCCTCCCACAAAATCTCACTTTCCCTTTATTAAAAAAAAAATGGAAAATCAAGAATTTCTTTCTCATTAGTGGTAGACGAGCAGCTGAAATTCTAGAATTAGTTAGGGAAAAAATAGTAAAGAAGAAAAGTAGGTACGAAAGTAGACACGTTTTTTAAAGAGTCATGCATGAAGTCACTCTTTTAAGACAAAGCTATTTTAAGGTCCCTCGAAAATTTACATCAGTGTATTACTAAAAGAAAACAAAGATAATTCAATTGAATACAGGAGAAGGAGAATGACAAATTAAAATGAATTCGTAGATAAAATGTTTTAAAACTATAAGCAACTATTATGTACATTATTGTATAGCATATATGAATTTGGTAATATTGAAATACATGTATTTGCAAAATGAAATCATTTTTTTTTTCTTTGCAAAAAAATAAATGTACAGAAAACTTGTTTCTCCTCTTCCACTTAGGCCGAAATACGCCCCCCCCCCCCCCCATTTTTTCAATTTTGTATTTTCAAATATACTCAATAGATTTACATATTCTATTCGGTAATATTAATTTCATTTTGAGTTACATTCCCTTGTCTTGTCACAAATATCAAAAGTCAACGGAAAATATAAGTATTATATCCTTGATAGTTTTTGCACCTAAAGTTGTCAGGAATTACGACAAGTGCGACCAATTTGAACAGCTCAGATTAACTAGCCGGGGAAAAATTAATGCACATCTGTGTGATTTATAACATGTAGTTCAAAAATAATTATAAAACATAATTACATTATTTTACTACTAAATAATTCTTAAGTTAGGTCTTATATTTCTTAAATATTTCATCAATGGCAAGTCTCGTTAGCTTTTACAGACATGAAAAAGAGTTAAACAGAAAGTAAATTCACAGTGAATTAATTCGTTTAATTATGTTAACTATGAATATTATATATATATTGATACATTTTATCTAATGTTATGAAATGAAATGTACACAGGACTATTTCAAAAATAAAAAAAAATCTGCTGTGAACGTTAACGTTACTATACAAGATTTTTACTTGTAAATAATATACTCTCCGTGTTTAGTTTAATATCATGGACAGAAATAGTCGATCTAATGTTAGAATAATGTATCTAAATGGGATATATTGAGTACTTCACACAACTCGCGTGCCCAGCAACTGAGAAAAAAGGGGCGTGTCAGAGCTGAAAGACTTTTGTCATGTGATTTAAATGAAAAGAGTCTGGGAGTTTCATAGTTATAATCTTTAAACACATTAAGTTTATAATATCAATGTTCAACAACTGCTGTTTCGATATTATAATATAGTTATATAAAATGCTTTTTGCGTTCCATGTCACCAAATGATTTGTGTGACAGTTATTTTCTTGACCAGTATACCACATAATTATGGAATGCAATAGAGTACCAAATCTGAGCTCATACAGTTATATAAGAGATGGAAGCCGAGTAGAAGCGAATGCAACTGGCAACAGTCCTTCAAAATATCCAGAATACTGTAAAACAATCAAAGTTCAAGGTAAGCTGAACCAAGATTTTTTTTTATAAATATTAAGGGCTTTTTAAGATGGCATATGTCAAATACTTGATGTACATTTATACGTTTTGCATGAAATATTATTTCATTCATATATTTTTGCAATTTCACATTTGAATTTTCAGTGTATAAGATTGAATTGAATGTTAACGGAAATGGTAGAGGGAAAACTAGTATTCCTTTCTGTTTATCTTAATTGTTTATACAATCGTTTTAAAACAAAATTTTAGATGCTTTTAATCATTTTTCTAAGATATTTTTTTGTTTTTCAGTATTGGTATAGCAATGATACAATAATAATTTTTTTTTAAGTAAAAACTTGATGTTTTTTATTACTTCTGAATAAATTTTATTGAAATATAAACATTGAAATTAAACATATATTTTTGGACGCCCTCTCCATAAATTGTTGAATACAGGATAAAACCCAACTGGTCTTTCTCTCTTTTTTAAAAAGTGATTTAATATCCTTTTCAAGAAACATTTACGCGTAAATAAAAAAAAATCCATTCTAGTCAATCAAAATTAATCATAAAATATACATATGTAGAAGTAAAAGTCGATTCATGGAGAGCGATATAGACCTTATTACCGGCTTTTTATGAACAAATTAGATCTTTAGAAAGCGTATATTGACATTAGTTTCCTTTTTTTAAAAATAACTACTGCGCTTAAAGAACTCCAAACTCCGCCGTTTTTATCATGCTGGGTTTTATTTCTTTGGATTTAATGTTATTGTGTTCACTACTTTTCTCAAAATGTCATTTCTTTTGGATGTGGAACCCCTACCGGCTGGGTACCTTGTTAAATGAACCTGTGTTATTCGATTTCACTAAAATTGAAAAACCAATTGAATTGGTGTGAGAAAATATTTACACTCTATTCTTTCGTGGCAAATGATTGTTACATGGTTTCCAATGTACTGTAAAAAAGAAGTCGGTGGATTTTAATTAGAGTCAGTAGTTAAAAATCAGAATGTTCACATTTGCTGCTAGATTCAAGAAAATCATTAATAAGTAATGGCTAAACTTTGGCACCATGTATTATCTGAGGATGGTTTGCCTTATTCTAAAGATTTGAAAGGTATTTTATAAAATTTTTACTTCCGCGTTGAGTTAAAGGGTTTAGTCTTTGCCCCCGGACAATTCGAAAGGGCGTCGAAAACACTTTTAATGGAATAGAAATGCTAATTTGAAGTGTAATTCTATACCAATTAAAGGGGATGTTTGTACAAGAGAACCAGGGTTGATGACCAGTATGTCTTATTATTTTCACAGATACCCAACTGGTCAGGTCTAGCAC